CAGATATCCCCATTCTATCTCCATATTTATAGGTTGTATATGCCACCTTTGATCTTGTGTTCGATTGCGAACGCTGCCAGCTGCAGCCGCTAGCCGCAGCACCTTGCGGTGCAATTCGACCATCTTCTCTCGGCTGGGTAAAACCTGAGGTTCGACTGCAAAGTTAGAACTTCTGGGGGCAAAAACAACATGGGATTCTGATCAGGAATCAATATAGTGATATAAGTTACAATGGTGTTACAATGGATACTTGTTGATCCTAAGTGAAACACTTATATACACTTATTGTCACTATGGTTTAGGTACAGCAACAAATCCTTAGTGAACACAAGATGGGTGGACAAATAGGTGGTGTAAGCTCGTACATTTTGGTTTGACTCAAAATGTGAAAGACCCCCGTGTTGGAAAAATCATGGTAGGAATGTAGAAAATGAACAAAAAAAATGGTGAGTACAAACCATGGGGATTTTCACGGGGAAACCCAAACTTTGCGACCTGGATCCTTTTCCAAAGGGGCAACCCAAAAAAAAACCGCCAGGTTTACAAACCACGAATCTTTTGGGATCGGGAAAAACCCAAAAGCTCTCAGGACGGAAGGACCATCATTTAGAAAATCTGCTTGGTGGTGCAATGTGCCCATCTTGAAAAATGATGGAGTTCGTCAATGGGTTTCGGATGACATCCCTTTTCTATGAAATGGAAAATGAATAATGTTCCAAACCACCAACCAGATAGTGAGATTTTCCACTGCCAGGTCTGGGTATTGGTGGCCTACGTTCCTCTGGATCCAGGCTGTGAGATCCTTGTGGGAAGCTGCTAAGCTTCAGAAAACCCTCCGGATCGCACACAAGTGGTGAGGGTGGCACCGGTGGCACCCGATGTCATTGTTGAAGTTACAAAAATGGTTCCTTTCAGTGTTCTATTCCATTGTTTGGAACATTATGTTCTATGACGGGAACCATTTTTTATAACTGAAAGGAACCATTTTGTTCCATTATTACATTTGTTTGTCATAGTGTTCTATTCCATTGTGTTCAGTGTTCTATGTGTTCTATTATGTTCTATTCCATACATCCCTGTCCCCACAAAAAATGATTGGTCCCTTGCTCTCGAGCCCCCGACCTGCTCGGTGAAGAACTTCATTCTCTCGATGGCCTCAGAAATCAAGCGACGGGCCATAGGGGAAACAAAAGCCAAGCGCCAGGAAAATGCAGGATGTAACAAAAACTGCGGAAATACTGGTTTAATAGTGGTTTAATAGTGGTTTAATGGTGGTTTTCAGGGTTATGTAAGGTGTAAGGCAATGTCCCCCAAAAAGCATGGACTGACCCAGGCGCCAGCCCTTTGAGGTGTACACTTCGGGGCAAAAGACAAGCCAAAATCAGGCCCAAAACAGCCAACATGGTAGTCCCAGAGATCAACTATAAACGCGGTTTGCTGGAAAAAACCCTATTTAGTAGCGTTTTCCCAGCTATAAACCTCCATTTTGAATCATGTTCATTGGGGCATCTCGCGATTCTCCATATTTGATTACCAAAAGGCTAGCCATCATGGGACGGATCAAGACCCACGTGGTCGGGTCGTTTGTTACCTATGAAATGACCATACTGGGGGAATCAAGATCCAGCATCATCCAGCATCATCCAGCTATGACTTAGGCTATCGTTTGGGCTTTTGACCCACCAGATTGGTGATGATTTTTCACATTCGGAAATCACTAGGCCAATCCCTGGCCGCAACTTTTGAAGCCGCACCTGGCCGGCCTGAACATGACGCGTCTGTCCCACCTGCGTTTCGTTGAGGGTTGCGCAGGGAAATTCTTTTGAAATCTCTGGGATTTAGTGGGATTCCATGGGATTCAGTGGGACTCCATGGGATTTAGTGAAATTCCATGGGATTCAATGAAATTCCATGGGATTTAATGGGATTTAATGGGATTCCATGGGATTCAATGAAATTCCATGGGATTTAATGGGATTCCATGGGATTTAATGGGATTTCAGCGACAGCAATCAGCAATCATACGGCAATCATGGGGATGTCATGGGGATGTCATGTGGTACTCCAAGATCCAATGGCTTAGATATATTGTTAATGATGACAGTAGTACAATTCATGGCTTAGAACTTTTTTTTACTCGAAAATACTGTTCTTAATGTTATAATCTTAGGATATGCCGCAATGCCCATGTTTGGACATACCCATTTTGCCATGTGTTTCTTTATCTATCGTCCAAAAAGAACTAGACGACAAGGTAAAACAAAAGACTATGCCACGTGCCCATCCAAATATCTGCTGAGAGTCTCATGATTCTGGGACAGCTATCACCGTACTTTTCTTGTCAAGAATTGGGATGATACCCATCCTGGAGTCAACTGGAAGCTTTAGGGCCATCCCGGTGGAAAACCAAACACGGTTTTTAATGATTTGTTAATCTGGTTGGTGGTTGAGCCACCTTTCTGAAAAATGATGGAGTGAAAGTCAGTTGGGATTTTCTGAAATTCCCAACTAATCTGGAAAGTCATAAAATTCCATGGTTCCTTAAACCACCAACCAGTAATGGTTAATAAGCCCTTGATACAGCCAACGTTTTTAGGTTTTTCTACCACCCAATTGATGGAGATCAGTTCCGTGAGATTTCCAACATCAGTTGTAGGGTACCCCCCTTTTTTACTAACCAGATACCCTCTGGTAAACTAACATAATCATAACTATGGAAAATCACCATCTTTCATGGGTAAATCCACTAATAATGGTCATGTTCAATAGCTATGTTAAATTACCAGAGGATATTCCATGGTCCTTCAAGAATGTCTTGACTTGCAGCAATTGAAAATATATCTTTCATGCCATGCCACAAACAAATGGTAAAGGTCAGTTCATCCAAAGCGTTCAACTCCTTCAATTGAACTGTCTGGCCTCCGCTGGGGAAATCGCCTGAAGTACATGGCGTGAACAAAGGTCCCAAATCAGACATTTGTATGTCCATGCATGTCCTGAAGAATTTGCTTGGTGGCCTAAGTTGTCAGAACTGCGAAGTCTAGCTACCGAAGGGCATGTCCCATATGACTCTTAGATGAAGAATCTATCACAAGAAATCTATTTTCCTGAAATCGGGTTCAATTTTAGGTAAGCAACCCCTTGGGATTCCCGAGGGGCCACGATACCATCATTTTTTTAATCAGAGCCAGTCACATAAACATGGAGTTCCGCCGAAGTCTGGAAGTCTGGAAGTTACAGCCTTTCCCGTTGTGTTTCATCGTGCTTGGTTTGCTATCCTGATCCCAAAGTGTTCAATGTCAATCAGCAGATTACCCCCATCCCATTTGGGATTCAGAAAACTGGGGTTGCCAAAAGTGATACACAAAAGTACTCGAAATGCTGCCCCTATATAAAATTCAAGCAAGCACAAACCCTCATGGTTGACATTTCTTGGGAAGTCAAATGATCCCCCAAGAGTTTGGCCAATCACAGGGCCACGGTCATCAAGGCGGTGGACCAAACATGTAGATGGCCCAGAGATAACTCAAAAATTGAGGTCGCACCAGATTGTTTCCCTCTAAAATGACCAGACTTGACCTCCTTGGCCTGTACAAAAAGTCCATGGTGGATCGACTACCATCAAAAAACGAGTCCGTCAGGCACCATGATCGAAAGGACTGACGAGGAAAAAATCTATCTCTGCAAAACACAAATTAGAAACAAAAACAGAAAAACAAAAATCTAAGCAACAAAACATCATAAACATCATCCAAAAAAAAAAATCTCCGTGGTTCCCCCATGGTTGCTGCGCCTCTTGGCCATATCGCACCGCCCTCAGTGCGGAGTGTGTCCAGGGTCGAAATCACTTGGGACCCGTAAATGTGGAAAAATCTTGGAAGCAAGCTCCGGGGCTGAATAGTGCAATTCAAATTTGTGACAATAGTATGTGATTAACATGGATTATCTGAACCAATGATGCCCAGAAATCTCGTATGCAAGTCACTGTTAATGCACACTGGTTGTTCAATGGGGACCTGTCTTTTAGTCAACCAACCACTTGGAAGAGGCCAACTATGCGATGGGCCCCGAGTGTCGGGAAAAAAAACACAAGGCACCAAGAGAAGGCATCAGCCCACACTCAACTTCTATACTGTGCTACCTTTGATGGCATTAACATGCATAAACAGTTTTCCCGGATTCACTCAGCTTCCCACTCCATTTTTAAGGCAGCTCTGGGTGAAACAGCTTTGGGGCACCGAGTATGACTAAGTGCAAAGATACAAGTCAATTTTCACCGGTCATTCTCTATGTGTTCATCTGTTCATGGCTCTTGTAGCTTTGCCCATGGCTCTTGAGCTGGGAACTGTTGATGTTTAGCGAATGTGAAACAAATAGAAAGACTACCGCGGCCTGAACCTTGAGTGCACCGGCACAATCCTGCTAAGCGAGAAGGGCACATCCGAAGCATAGAAAACTTACTGGGAACAATATCAGTGGAACATGGCGCAGAGAGAGAGAGAGAGAGAGAGAGAGAGGGAGGGCGAAATAACGCAGCCATGTTTGGAGTTTGTGACTAAGACGATTTTTGAGGGCAACGTCAACGTTCACCAATCAGTTGGGTTCTCAGCATGGTGAGTTCACCCCCGTAAGTTGGGATATAAGCCCGAAAAAAATATGGTGAAATATATCCACTTCGTTCACTGGAACTGCACGCCAAAGTGGTTGGTTTGTTTCATCTGTGTTTTTGAAATTTGCCCTTGGCTCTTGACCAACTGCATTGCCTGGTTTCCACAGTCACAGTTCCTCCCTAAGTCACACAGTTGGTACGGCCTTGTCAAAGCATGGAATCTGGGTAATTATTATATTTCACTAACCTGAATTAAGGCCATTTGGGGATCATTTCCCCTACTAACTATGATTATAGTGAGGTCGCAGTGAGGTCGTTATAATTTATCCAGATGGAATATGACTTATCGGGTAAAACCCTTTTGATCACATTGATCCCATCCTGCCTTTCATTTTTTTGACACCCCCAACCCGTGAATCAGGGGATGGGATTTTCCACTGCGGTCATCGGGCCTTGATCTTTGAAGGCCATAACTTTTCTTGCCAGAACTACTGGGGCCAACTCTACTCCTTGGGAGTGACAGAAGCTGGCGTAAACGCAATAGAGCTCACGCTTTCTCGCGGCATGGTCAACTGGCGGCACGATGGTATGTGCGAGTTTTTCTTCTCACCAAAGTCATTAGCTAATCTGTCCACACGTATTGATCAATCAATCCCATTTTGCGTGTGAGATGTCTACTTACATTACTGTTTTTGTGGCTCTCCAGCCCTTTCTTGCGGTTTGATCTACCCACCAAGTTCCAAGATCAGGCCACCCTGAAAACCATTTTTCGGAGGTTGAACCGTTGAACCCAAAAATTCCGTGGCAATTGTCCCCCAGAGTTCCCCACATCTACATGTATGTACATATATATATATATATATACCTTTGCACATCAACTCTTGTTTTGACAGGAGTGTCTCGTGGTTGCTATTGACTGAGGTATGTACTTAGCCACACCTCAACAGGAACGGAAAGCCTTAATTACCGGACAGGCTAACCCTCCATTCAGCCAGCACAACAATTATTGTTGGTACACCCGGAAGAAAATCATGCAACCTTAATGAAGGTACAAGAGTGCCCTAAAGAAGGCCTCAGTCACAACTTTAATGAAAGTTGGGCATCCAAATCTAAAGAGAGAAGCTGCACAGGAGTAAGGTAAAGACCTGACACCTGAAAGAAGAACACACCGAAGTGGTAAAGGGTGGCATGAGGGAGGGAGTGTAAAGGCTGCAGAATTGAACAAAGGTATATCATCGTTGTTCACTACTCCCTCCATTGCATTATGGGCTACGTTCAGCATCACTAGATATAATACCTTTGCACATCAACTCTTGTTTTGACAGGAGTGTCTCGTGGTTGCTATTGACTGAGGTATGTACTTAGCCACACCTCAACAGGAACGGAAAGCCTTAATTACCGGACAGGCTAACCCTCCATTCAGCCAGCACAACAATTATTGTTGGTACACCCGGAAGAAAATCATGCAACCTTAATGAAGGTACAAGAGTGCCCTAAAGAAGGCCTCAGTCAATCCAAATACAAAAAGGAAAGGGGGGGCCCTAGGCAACTCAACGGCCCCTTCCACTTACCTCAGGAAGACCAACTCACCTTTTTGCACTGGCGTAGCCGTAACTGAGCTCCTTTGAGGCGCCACTGTCGGATACGTTTGACCTGCTTTGAGGTCCACGACAAGTGGGCCAGTTGGGCCGTGCCCTCATCTATGTATTGTCGAGCAGTTTTGGCACAGCTCCACCTACCTCTGAGCACTGTGGCATCTAAGGATAGGGTGAATTGATAGTACCAAGTTGCGCCTCCTCTGCGCAAAGAATAGGGTAGGTACGTTTTGGATTTGAAGCCCAGTTTCACCAAAATGGTGTCAAAGGTATCCCGAAAGCAACTGGAACTGTGGGCCCACAGTAGCTGCTTCTTGCGACGGCTACTCAGTGTCGAGCAGGCCATTTGCACTATGGTCGGGTCATCCACCAACAAAACTTGAGGATTGCCTTCAGAGGTTTTGGCTTGTGGGAGGACCACACTCAGAGATGATCCTGATGGATGCAGCAGGACATGGGCCCCTGTCAGCTGCAGCATCTCTGAGGTTCTCAACATGCAATGAAAGCCTAGCGCCAATAAGAGGCCAAGGCGGGGCAATGACAAACTGTATGCTACCCCGATCATGGCCTCGACCAGCTCCCATGAGGCAGGCACTGCCCTGGTGGGCTTGCAGGCTTTTACCCAGTTGCGATAATACTGGGACGCCTGAGGAAGTTTCAGCTTCAACTCAGGGTGAAACCTCTTCAAAGCTGAGAGGAGATGACCTGCATAGGTCAAGGGGTCTCCTTCTTGAAACGATTCATTGATGAATTCGGCGAGCGCACGGTCAAGGGCTCTGGGTTTGTGGCAGGTAAGATCTTTCAAACGAGCAAACTTCAGAAAGTTGTTCAAGGCTAAGCGGTAAGCACGCAGTGTCCGAGGCTGCAGCCCAACATAGCGCAAGTGCTTCCTAGGCTTTCCCATGGCGCCTGGAGGCTTTGTCGCTGAAGTTCCACTGTGAGATCGTCCACAGTGGGAACAGATAACTGTTCTGAGCCAGGGATGCTGCCGCGTGCTTTTGCAATGCCTTGTTTAGCCTGCTGCTTGAAGACCTGCCCTTGGCCAATGCGCCTCTGCTGACCATGCTATCGAGCACATGCAACCATCTCGTGTGAAACTTGGCAGAAGATCTGCCTCGATGCCTGGCCATGACTACCAGGGCGTTTAATTCCAGCTCATTGATGTGAGCCTCTTGCTTCCATGCATAGGAAGTGACTGTTTTCCACCTCCAGCGTAATGCTGGGTAAGGCACCTCATGCCTCTCCTCCTCGGGTCCCAGCCTCATGTGGAAGCGGACCTCGGTTCCTCTCATTGACGATGCCCGCAGGAGGGACGTGAGGTGAACCAGCTCTTCTCCTTGCCGCATCTCTTTCTCCATGCGGAAAAGGTATTTAGCCATAGGGGCCAGAACTGACTCCTGTTGGAGCCTCTGGGTGCTGCTACCCAGCTGGTTGACATACCAATCTTCACGGGCCTCTCGCTGCACCCGCTCAAAGACTTTCTCCTTCTCCATCTGGGCCTTTAGCCCACGTGCATAAGCGAGGCAAAGTGCCTACGGGTATTCACTCTCTTCCTCGGTAGGGTAGTGGAGAGTGCCATCTGCCAGCTCCTCTACCTCGTAGCCCAGCAGGTTCTGATGGCCCGGGCAATTGACCTGCAGCTGCTTTCTAATCTCCTCTGAAGTTCCCAGAAAAGAGAACCACTTCTCCCGAGCACCACCAAAACAACAGTGTGATCCGACTGAATGGAACATGCCCAGTTCCTCCAACTTCTTTGCCAGGGTGAACTCCCAGATCCAAGACCCATAAGGGTGTTCAAGCGTGAAGTGCTCAGGGTGCCTGTTTCTCTGGACCTCTTCACCCCTTTTCAAGGCTTTCAATGCCATTTGGTTGGAGCGTCTGAGCCGGGCCTTCATCTCGGATGGGAGGTTGGTGAAGCCCATGACATGTCGGGCATCGCGCACGGGCTTCGGCCCGGTAATGACTCGGCCATCTTGCAACGTGATCGGCCTACCTCTGGCCTTGCTAAACAGCTTGCACTCTGGGGCCCAGTGCTCGCAGTACAGATGCGGGTCACTCATCAGAGTAGTGAGCTCCTCCCGACCTTCCTCTGTGAACATGTCAGAACCGAGCAACTTGTCAAACGGCTCCTGGATCTCGATTCCGCCCATCTTAGCCACCGCGTGAGACAACGGTGCATGGGGTCCTGAAAACCGCTCACCGAACTTTGGCGGCTTCCATCCCCGCCTCATGCAGGTCCTCTGAGAAGAGGCGTCACCATGCCTGTGCCTCCAAATGCACTCCAGGCTACAGAAGGCTGCGCCGCAGAGACAGGGACAAGGATAGCGCTGACCACTGCGGAAGGGCTCATCACAGACCCAACATTCATCACCATTGTGCATCACTGTGGCGGGCTCCGGCATAAACTCTGTCGCAACAGCTCCACCTCCTCCTGTTGGGGATGCGTCTGAGCAGGAAATCTCCCTGTCAATCCTCACACGTAGCGACGACCCCATAAGGCATGTTGTTGCAATGACCATGATCACCTCATCCACGGATCTGTCCCTGGGGCTTGCCTCCTTGTTCTTGATGAGATGCCCCAGGTCTCTGAAAATACCATCAAAGATACTCATCAGGGGCCTTCTGAAACACATTCCAAAGGTGGCCTTACCTATGAAGTGCCGTACCTCAAACTCCTTCCACGAAGGAAGGGTAAGCAATGCCGCCCCCAAGCTGATCAGGCTCACTTGCTTCTCGCCTCCCAGCTTGTACCAGCCCTTGAGGCCATCCAATGTGCCACCCTGTAGGGTTCCCTTTGTAGCTCCAATGAGCCTCTTGGCGTCGTTCAGCGGCAGGCCTTTCTCCTTGCAGACTGCCCGAAACCGCCTGTGCCTTGCCGATGGTTGTCCTTCCAGGACTTCGGCACACTGCTTGTCAAGCCTCCTCAGCTCATCATAGGAGTCAAGGTAGATGACTGTGAGGTCGTCATTGTCTGGCATGCCTTTGACCTTCGTGACCTCTGTGTCCTCTGGGACCTCTGCCCCCTGAAAGACTAAGGTGCGGACAACCGACTGGATCACAGTGACTGCATTAATCCAACCCATAGGCACTACTGCCATGGCAGCATAGACCTGTTCACCAGGCGTGCCATTGAAGAGCTTGGCATCCACCGTCTTCTCAAAGCACATCAGCGGAAGCCAAGTGTCAGGCAGCTTGAAGAGGTTGAAACAGGATGAGAAGTCCTCTGAATCAACTAGAAAGCACTCCTCATCAGATTGCTCCAGCAAGGTCAGCTGACCCAGGTACGGAAGGTATCTGTCACCGGCATCAATGTGTGCCTGGTAGGCGTTCGAGGGGATAAAATTCGAAATGAACCTCTGCATGACCAGCTCCTCACCTCCTATACGCTTGAGCTTTCTGACAGCTCCGGCCCCATTCAAGACCATGTTACCCTTGTGATCTCTAAACACCTGGTCGGCTTCCACCGGAACCATAAGGCCTCTGACGTGAGCTGCAGAGACAATCTTGTTCCACTCATCCTGTGTAGCTCTGACTCGGCTCTTGGCGGGCTGGTCCGGCCATTCCCACGACAAAAGCAGGGAGTTCATAGGGTCTTCCATCATCTCAGCGAGCCCAGGGGGCAGGAAGTCCATCACACTCTGCACAGCGCACTCACCAGGTTTGGGCCACACCGGGATTACTTTTTCTGCTACAAGATCCTCCATGGGATGCACAGGTTCACCGGCATAATCAAAACGAGCTTTGCCCAGCATGAGTGAGGACTCTTGCAACGGTTCACAGCTGTAGGGCTCCTCCGCAAGGTCGGTCAGCCTCTCAGACAGATGATCCAACATCAGCTTCTGTGAGGTGGATAAACACGTGGGAATGGAAAGGTCAGCCTTCCTGTTGTTACGGCACCCCATGGACATGAAGTTCAAAACATGGAGCAGGAGCTTCAAGGATGCTCTCATGCCCTCATCAAGGTCAGGAAGTGTGTCTATCACCAGAGGGTTGAGCGGCAAAAGGTCACGACCACGCTCATCAGGTGCTTGCATAACGGGAGACACTCCTCTTCTCTCTAAAGTGGAGGCTAAGTAACCCAATGGTGATTCAATGACCGGCAGCAGCTCCCAGACCTTGGAAAGGACCGAGAGTGGCTTCCTTGACTCCTTGCCAAACTCTCGAAGGACAGCCTTCCAGTCCTTGTTCTCTTCCTCCTGCTTCAGATCACTCCCTCCGGGAGGTAAAGTCTGCTGGCTTACTTCTCGGTCTCCTTCTTTCCTTTGCCTTCGTTTCCTTTCTGACCTCGACCTTTGCCCTTTCCTCCTTTCGGTTCGCCCTTGGGGGGTCTCCAGCTCGGGCGGTCGTTGCCCCTCAGTTTTCTCTCCAGCAGGGCCTCCTTTGAAAGATAGACCTCCTCGTCCCGCTCCAACATGCTTGCGGTCTCGGTCGGAATGAGCTCTAGAAATTGAGCGGCCGACCAGTTGCCCTCTGTTGTGGCCCTCTCGAGAGCCTTGACTCTCTGACTGACTACGTCTGCTGCCCTTGCGGGCTGATTGCGGGCAAGCAAGTCGAGAGTCACCATGAGGGTGCGTAGTTCTCTCTGGGTTCTCACGTTCATCCTCCCGCCTAGATGCGGGGTGAGTATCTGCAGGAGATACTGAACTCCCACTGCTGGAGTCTTGTCGTCGTCCTCCATGTGTGCCCCTGTCGAGCCCAAAGCCACCTCTGACTTCATCTTTAACAGTAGCCTTGCCGCTAGGCGGCCGGGGTGTCTCTGGCTGTATCCCATCAGAGCCATCTGCCCTGATTTCTGTGGCTCGACAGGGGCCTCGCGAAAAGGCGACCTCTCGGACTCACTGGTAGTATCTTCCTTGAAGCTAACGGGAACTCCAGACCCGAAAGGGCCACGGTCGCCCTTCTTTGCGGGCTTCTTGGCATCATGCCCAGCCACACCACCTCCTTGGAAGAGGTTGTCATTCTCCTCTGAAGACTCTGCGCGCTTGGACGCAGGTGAAGATGAACTGGGCTCCTTGTCTTTAGCCCTCCTAGGCTTCTTCTTCTGTGGCTGCGTAGACTCCGAGGTTCCATCTACTCTTTGCGCAGCCTTCTTCTTCTTTTTCTTAACCTCCGTCAAGTCCTTGTCCTTCTTTTTCTTCTTCTTTCCCTTGCTCTTCTTCTCCTCCGGAGAGGGTGACTTGTCCCTTCCTTCGCGATGATCTCGCTGCTTCTTACTGGTCTTGCCCGAGACACCCTTCGCCTTGTGCTTCTTTTTCTCTTTCTTCGAACCTTTCTCTTCCAGGAGCTTGAGCTCAGCCTTCAATGCCTTGATCCTGCTAAGGGTGTCTGGGTCAGACTCTGCTTCTGAACTATCTGCATTCTCCTCTGTCTCCTCCTCTGGCTCAACCCAAGGCAGGGCTATTGCGTTTGCAGCGTCCGATTTGCCTGACTTGAACTTCTCATGGAAGCTCTCTACATCCTTCATAGGTGGGCCCTTGAAGGCCCAATCCGGGACCTTGGCAGCCCATTCCTTGTTGCTGATGACCCGGAACTGTTCCAGGTGGACCAGCTTCGCACGTCCCTTGACAAACGTGCAGTCATGGCAATTTCCCTCACATGAGTGATAGAGAGCTTTGGACTTGAAAGGCTTGCCACCTCCATCCGTCATCCACCATCTGTAATGGGGGTCCGATGCCGAGATGTACTCTGCATAGAAGAGGTGCCCTGCGCTGGAAGTCTCCTCATGGTGCAGGACCCTCAGCAGCACAGTTCCCTGTGCCTTGCCCCCATTGTCTCTGACGGCAGCCTCAATCACCTGGCCCTCCTGGAAACGGTGTTTGTACCAGGAGGACCTATCAATTCCACCCCCCAGCCACATACTGGGGGAGTAAACGGCCTTTTTCAGGCAGAGCCACTGGGTGATTGAGGCCACCAGTGGTTGCCTTGAAGTGTAAAGGCTGCAGGATTGAACAAAGGTATATCATCGTTGTTCACTACTCCCTCCATTGCATTATGGGCTACGTTCAGCATCACTAGATATAATATATACATGTTATATAATTGTCCAATAGTTTTCCTTCTTTTTCAATGTAATGCCTTCCTCCCGGTATGATTAGATGCCCCGCCAACATAGTAAGGAATGGGATTGTCAAAAAAAAAATGGCTCGCATCATGGTGATCCGAAGCCAACTGTCTCCAAGTATCAGTTTGTTGGGCCCAGTAATTCGATTAACTGTTCCATCATTTGGCTTTTGGAAGACATCACCATGATATATATTTCAGATTTCCATACCGCCAGCCAGCCAGATGTTCCACCCTGAAAATGACCCACGTTTCGAGGAAAGGAGTCTTCCGACACCCAAGAGCTTGGTTTTTGGTCGCCGTGTACATCCCCATGATTCCCATCTCTTGTCGGTTAAATCTCCTATGTGTCATATTGTTGATTAGTTAATAGTCCGGCATCGAAGGAAATTTAGAAGGCAAACTTCCGATTTATGGACAGATGCGACAACAGTAGTGAGAATGTCACATAAGAGAAAGAATCAGAAGAGAAAAAGTGAGAGAAGAGAAAGTCAGTCTGCCATCCATGCATCCCGAATGCATCACGACAGCTCACCTTTCCTATAGGTTTCCTATATTGAAACTTCTGCCACCGCCTTGCGCGGTACTATGTTCTGTTATAATCCCCATCTAATAATGATATCATCTTGTAATGCCCATCTAACGGGGAAATTAACTCGATAATTATCAATGATTGTCCTAATCAATATTCTTCCAATAAAACCCCGATGAATCCAGGAAGAAAAGATGGAATTGGATTTATTTCGACATACAGATATACAAAAAAAAAAAACGATCAACAAAAATATATCCGATGAGATCATTCCCCATAATTGTCCAATATATCTCCATAATTTCCCGATCAAAAAGACCCGCCTTCTCTTGGAAGGCCACCAGGAGATCCGTGTGATTGGCCTCCCGCGCCACGTCCAACGCACTACGGCCCTGGCAAAAACGGTGGAAAAGATAGGAAAATGTGACAAATCGTAGCAAACACGGAGGAAAATGCGCGAAAATGTGGGAAAAACGATGTGAACATGTTGGACAATGATGAACATGTTGGGAAAAATGATGGGAACATGCGGAGATTGTGCTGTTGCATGCTGGTTTACAAGCAACACAACTGAGGATGTAGATGTAGGTGGACATCATGCAGATACTTGTCGGCGCGTGCGGATTTTCAAAGACATCCAGAGGTACAGGCGTGCGAAGAGATCCGTGCAAAAGATCGTACAAGAAGAATTCAAACACAGTATATACAGTTCCATGCGGTGTCATCAAACATGTTGCTGGAAAATCCCCTCATTTAGTTGATGATTTTCCCACTAATTATCCCGGGAAGAGACCCCAAACAGTGTGAGGGGTGGGAGTATAATGTATGATGATGATGACGATGATGATGATGATGATGCTGATGGTGAAGATGATGATGATGATGATGATGATGGTGATGATGATGATGATGTTGATGATGATGATGTTGATGATGTTGCGGACAATGATGTTGAGGATGATGATGTTGAGGATGATGAGGTGCAGGAGGATGATGATGAGGATGATGATGTTGAGGAGGATGAGGATGAGAATGAGGATGATAATGCGGAAGATGAAATGGAGGAGGACAAGGTGCAGGATGATGATGTTGAGAAGGAGGAAGGTCATGATGTTGAGGATGATGACGTTGAGGAGGATGGTGAAAAGGATGATAATGTTGCGGAAGATGAGGTGGAGGAGGATGATGCTGCAGAACATCAGGTGGAGGATGATGAAGTTGAGGATGATGATGTGAAGGGGGAGGAAGATGATGATGTGATGATGCTGACGACGAGGAAGATGATGATGTGGGGGATGATGATGCTGAGGAGGAAGACCGATCCCAAGACCTAGGACCAGCGAGCCTGCCCAGTCGAAATGCAGTTCAACATTTCACAAGAGCCACTTTATACGGAAATTTACAGGAAAAATGCCGCGCCCCAGAATGAGCCCAGAACGCAGACGAACACGTTGTGCGAGCCTGCGCAGTCGAAACGCATGTCAAGATGTCACAAAAATGCCGCGCCCCAGAGTGAGCACCCTGATCAGCACCGGCCTTAACACCTACCGTAAGACACACTGTTTGGGGAAAAATCCCATTCTTACATTGGATTTCCCAGCTTGCCATGTTTGAAATCAAAGGGTACCTCAAGTGAGGTCTTCATTTTCCACATTGCCTCAGGATCAAACCTTGCCATGGAAACCAATGATTCACCTTGCGGAACTAGAGCATCTTAGAGACTTGACATGAATTCTTTACATTCCAAAAAATTCAACTTGGAACCCATCTGGAAAAATTGTACTAAAAATGAGGCTGCACGTTGGGATACCCCGAGTGACCATTCCAGTGACATCCCTTATTGAGCCTTATTGGTCATGGAAGATCCTCGCGCCTCATCATCCTTTTCGCTGGGATTCGCTTGCTGAGTCAGCAGGTACAAACACAGCTCCTGTAGCGCCAGAGCTCCATTGAGTTTAATAAGTTTAATAGATCCAGTATGATGCAGTACTAAATAGCAAGGTTTCTAGCTTGTTCATAGGGGGCCGTCGAAACTAGAGCCCCAAAAAACAGAAACACCATTGATGTGCCTCAGTGCCAAATGGTCCTGCCGAGACATCTCAGGGTGAACTCAGTCGAAAACAGGATGGCCAATAGCAAACCAGGAAATCATCTTGGTCTTCCCAATATCTAACCCGCCAGGTCGAGGGGCCCGGTGTCGAAGCTACCCCCATGGCACTTGGGGGTGGAGCTCCACTGTCCGGACCTTCTTGCCGTGCTTGGCCGCCCAATGCAGCATGGTCCAGCCACCCTGGACGAAAAGATGGGGACTCAAGCCCGGTATCATTCGTTGGATCAACACCGTAGACCTATCTGTTAGTACATACTCATATACGTATATAAATATATATATATATATAACAGCGGGTATCATGATTGAAAATCCAAAACAACCAGCTATTTTGATGTAAACAGCTGGGTTTGCCATGACTTCGATAGGATGGCCGGAGCCTTCCAAACCTTGGCCATGGCCTGGCCACTAGGCCTTTCTAGGATCATCCCCAGCTCAGGTGATTGTAGCATGGACCCCATGGAACCCCCATCCCACATAGCTTTCCCCACGATCCGTGGATGGCCAACCTGAAGTAGATATGGAAAGGTCAAAAAAAACTTCATTGAAATGGGGAAATGTTGGAAAATCCCATATGGAGGTTTCCTAAAATGTGGCTTATTCAATGGAAAATCCTAACATAAAATGGATGATTTGGGAGAAATCCCATATTCGATCTACTTCAATTATATGAGTTATATATAGTTATATGTGTATATACACACATGTATCATCATGTATCCATATATCCCTATTTTAGGATAGTATTTATCCATATATCTATATACTATTTTAGTCATATTTGATATATATAATATTTGGTTCGTATAACATCACAACCAGGATATTTGATCAAATTTATATCGAGCTCGCGGCCTTCCACTCCATGGCTCGCCAGGAATGCTTCTCGATATTCTCCAAAACCTGCCACAATCCCACCATCATCGGGGGGTTATCGTAACAAATGGGGATCCGAAAAAAAAACTGGTTGATGGTTAACAATGGTTAATAATTGTTAATAATCGTTAATAATGGTTAATAATGGTTAATAATGGTTAATAATGGTTAATCATGGTTAATAATTGTTAATAATGGCTAATAATTGTTAATAATGGTTAATAATGGTTAATAATGGTTTGTAATTGTTAACAATTGTCAATAATGGATAATACTGGTTATTACTGGTTAATAATGGTTAATAATGGTTAATAATTGTTAATAATTGTTGATAATGGTTAATAATGGTTCATAATGGTTCATAATGGTTAATAATGGTTAATAATGGTTAATAATGGTTAATAATGGTTAATAATGGTTAATAACGGTTAATAATGGTTAATCATGGTTAATCATGGTTAATAATGGTTAATAATGGTTAATAATGGTCAACAATTGTTAATAATGGTTAATAATGGTTAATACTGGTTAATACTGGTTAATACTGGTTAATACTGGTTAATAATGGTTAATAATTGTTAATAATTGTTAATAATGGTTAATAATGGTTCATAGTCGTTCATAATTGTTAATAATGGTTAATAATGGTTAACAATGGTAAACAATGGTTAACAATGGTTAACAATGGTAGATAATTGTTAATAATGGTTAATAATGGTTAATAATGGTTAATAATTGCTAATAATGCTTAATAATCGTTAATAATGGTTAATAATGGTTAATAATGGTTCATACTGGTTAATACTGGTTAATAATGGTTAATAATTGTTAATAATTGTTAATAATGGTTAATAATGGTTCATAATGGTTAATAATGGTTAATAATGGCTAATAGTGGTAGATAATTGCTAATAATGGTTAATAATGGTTAATAATGGTTAATAGTTGGTTAATAATGGTTAATACTGGTTAATACTGGTTAATACTGGTTAATAATGATTAATAATGGCTAATAGTGGTAGATAATTGTTAATAATGGTTAATAATGGTTAATAATGGTTAATACTGGTTAATACTGGTTAATACTGGTTAATAATGGTTAATAATTGTCAATAATTGTTAATAATGGTTCATAATGGTTAATAATCGTTAATAATGGTTAATAATGGTTAATAATGGTTCATACTGGTTAATACTGGTTAATAATGGTTAATAATTGTTAATAATGGTTAATAATGGTTAATAATGGCTAATAATGGTTAATAATGGTTCATAATGGTTAACAATGGTTAATAATGGTTAATAATGATTAATACTGGTTAATACTGGTTAATACTGGTTAATAATGGTTAATAACGGTTAATAATGGTTAATAATGGTTAATCATGGTTAATAATTGTTAATAATGGTTAATAATGGTTAATAATGGTTAATAATGGTTTGTAATTGTTAACAATTGTTAATAATGGTTAATACTGGTTATTACTGGTTAATAATGGTTAATAATGGTTGATAATTGTTAATAATTGTTAATAATGGTTAATAATGGTTAATAATGGTTAATAACGGTTAATAATGGTTAATCATGGTTAATCATGGTTAATAATGGTTAATAATGGTTAATAATGGTCAACAATTGTTAATAATGGTTAATAATGGTTAATACTGGTTAATACTGGTTAATACTGGTTAATACTGGTTAATAATGGTTAATAATTGTTAATAATTGTTAATAATGGTTAATAATGGTTCATAGTCGTTCATAATTGTTAATAATGGTTAATAATGGTTAATAATGGTTAATAGTTGGTTAATAATGGTTAATACTGGTTAATACTGGTTAATAATGGTTAATAATTGTTAATAATTGTTAATAATGGTTAATAATGGTTAATAATGATTAATAATGGCTAATAGTGGTAGATAATTGTTAATAATGGTTAATAATGGTTAATAATGGTTAATACTGGTTAATACTGGTTAATACTGGTTAATAATGGTTAATAATTGTCAATAATTGTTAATAATGGTTCATAATGGTTAATAATCGTTAATAATGGTTAATAATGGTTAATGATGGTTCATACTGGTTAATACTGGTTAATAATGGTTAATAATTGTTAATAATGGTTAATAATGGTTAATAATGGCTAATAATGGTTAATAATGGTTCATAATGGTTAATAATGGTTAATAATGGTTAATAATGATTAATACTGGTTAATACTGGTTAATACTGGTTAATAATGGTTAATAACGGTTAATAATGGTTAATAATGGTTAATCATGGTTAATAATTGTTAATAATGGCTAATAATTGTTAATAATGGTTAATAATGGTTAATAATGGTTTGTAATTGTTAACAATTGTCAATAATGGATAATACTGGTTATTACTGGTTAATAATGGTTAATAATGGTTAATAATTGTTAATAATTGTTGATAATGGTTAATAATGGTTCATAATGGTTAATAATGGTTAATAATGGTTAATAATGGTTAACAATGGTAAACAATGGTTAACAATGGTTAATGATGGTTAACAATGGTTAATAATGGTTAATAATGGTTCATAATGGTTAATAATGGTTAATAATGGTTAACAATGGTTAATAATGGTTAATAATGGTTAATAATGGTTCATAATGGTTAACAATGGTTAATAATGGTTAATAATGGTTAATAATGGTTCATAATGGTTAATAGTGGTTAATAATGGTTAATAATGGTTAATAATGGTCAATAATGGTTAATAATGGTTCATAATGGTTAATAATGGTTAATAATGGTTAATAAAGGTTAACAATTGTTAATAATGGTTAATAATGGTAAACAATGGTTAACAATGGTTAATAATGGTTAATAATGGTTAATAATGGTCAATAATGGTTAATAATGGTTCATAATGGTTAATAATGGTTAATAATGGTTAATAAAGGTTAATAATTGTTAATAATGGTTAATAATGGTAAACAATGGTTAACAATGGTTAATAATGGTACATAATTGTTAATAATGGTTAATAATGGTTGATAATGGTTAATAATGGTTAATAATGGTTAATCATGGTTAACAATGGTTAATAATGGTTAATAATGGTTAATAATGGTTCATAATGGTTAATAGTAGTTAATAATGGTTAATAATGGTTAATAATGGTTAATAATGGTTAATAATGGTTCATAATGGTTAATAATGATTAATAATGGTTCATAATGGTTAATAATTGTTAATAATGGTTAATAATGGTAAACAATGGTTAACAATGGTTAATAATGGTAGATAATTGTTAATAATGGTTAATAATGGTTGATAATGGTTAATAATGGTTAATAATGGTTCATAATGGTTAATAATGGTTCATAATGGTTAACAATGGTTAATAATGGTTAACAATGGTAGATAATTGTTGAGAATGGTTAATAATGGTTAATACTTGTTAATAATGGTTAATAATGGTTAATAATGGTTAATAATGGTTAAAAATGGTTAATAATTGTTAATAATGGTTCATAATGGTTAATAATGGATAATAATGGTTAATAATGGTTAATCATGGTTAATAATGGTTAATAATGGTTAATAATGGCTAATAATTGCTAATAATGGCTAATAATGGCTAATAATGGTTAATAATGGTTAATAATGGTTAATAATGGTTAATAATTGTTAACCATTGTTAATAATGGTTAATAATGGTTAATAATGGTTCATAATGGTTAATAATGGTTAATAATGGTTAATAATGGTTAATAATGGTGGTTATGGTTGACCATTATGGGAATTTTAACCATTGCTGGTTGGTGGTTGAGCCACCCCTCTGAAAAATGATGGAGTGAAAGTCAGTTGGGATTTTCTGAAATTCCCAATGAATCTGGAAAGTCATCAAATTCCATGGTTCCAGTCACCACCAACCAGAAAATATCAATTGGAGGACTTGGATGTGAGCTGATCGCCATCCAAGTGCCAGATCCATAGGACTGGGAAAAGAGTGGACTTGGGTCACCTTGGTATAGTATACCATTTACATCCATTTGCCAAGGTGAATTCTCGAACCCTGAGTGAAGCTATGTGGCGAATCTGATCAGATTCACATGTAACAGAGGTGGCACTCATCGCTTGCAGATGAGGTCAAACCCCACCAATCATGGTCAACAAACATGGCTCGAGAATTCCTATTGGATGATAGGAAAATTTATAGGAAACCCCAAAAAATTTGCAAAAACAATGGTAAATATATAGTAAAAACATGTAAAAACCATGGTTTCCTGTAGATGTTCCTTAAACTCATGGATGGAACCCCCAGAAATCGCTCCCCTGATGAGCAATCCCAGCATGGCTCACCTTTTTGTAGGCCGGAGCCAAATCTTCAACGTCGGGTCTTTTCTTTGAAGACCTCGCAGGTCTTACCATGACCGGTTTCATCATGGCAATCTCGGCTGGAAAATCCTCCTGTTTTTCAGAGAAGTTTCAATGGGAAAATCATCCAAGTAAATGGTCAATTTTGCAGCTCAAGACTTGGCTTTTCAAACGTACCCTCTGACTCTGGTCATTTAACACAGCTATGGAAAATGGCCCATAGAAATAGATGATTTATGATGATGTACTTGTTTTAAAACGCTGATTTTCCATAGCTGTGTGAAACAGGCAGAGGGTACATGTCTGAAAAACGAGACCCCAACTCCCAAAAAATGGAAGACCACCCCATCATCCATCCTCATCCCGTGCACCTCACCAGCAAATCCGAAAAACCTGCGGTTTTTAGGGATATGCAGAGGCCGCACATACCAATGCAGCGATTTTGATGCTATTTTTGTTGTTCCCATCCCTGGTATTTGAAGACACCAAAACACCAAATGAAGCACTATCAATGGATAGGTTAGGAGTCCGCAGCCTGTAGCTCATGTCAACAAGATCAACAACTCCCCAGATATGGGTCACTGCAATCTGACACTTCAGGATTGCCGTTTCTTGATGCATAGGCTAGGGAAACCATGATTTCTGATCACTTAAATGACCTATATAAATCAATCGAAAATCACCGAGATGCCCAAGTTTTTTGACACCTCCAATCCTCGAGAGGTGGTAGGCCAGGCCATCCCTGCGTGCGCGTTTGGCGAAGAACAGCGGAATGCGGCCTGGGCGATGACAGTGGCCATTGATGAAGGTCATCCCAAAGAATCAAAAAGATGGAAAAAGTCCATTCCTACTAGTCACTACAGGATGGGGCCCCATAGTTAGCTAAGTTGGTGAACATAACTATAAAAACAATAGTGTATGATACTTATAACTAAATTTAGATGGGGTGATCAACCAACTTATGACTAGGGGGGGGCCATCCTGTAGTCAAGATTTACTGTTCTATGGGCTTACTTTATTTGAAAAGGCTCTTACAAGCATGCCTAAACATACCAAAGCCATAAATGTAGGTCATACATGGTCATGCCGTATGATATCAACCCCAGGACTTTTCCCCCCGTTAGGTCAGCATCTTCCTGCGAAAGTTCACAACGCCCCCCAGGCCTTGAACATCTCTTGATCGAAGGAGTTCAGATCCCTTTTCCTGTGTTTCTACATCCACAAACCAGGCCAGGGTGTCAAATCAGAATTGTCTCTCTCTCTCTCTCATCAACTGTTAGGTCATGACATATGATGACATATATGCCTTGCTGCCTTGCTTTACATCACCAAGGAGCAAACAAGCTGGCGGGTTGCTGTCTACAACTTTGGGTGTCTCCAAAGACTTGACGTGCTCATGGCTGTTTCTACGGTTTGTACAGTTTCAGATCACAACCATGCTGACAACCATGCTGACAATGCTCATGTTTTCCTGGGCCAAAAATCCACAGTTTTTTTCGCCAAAAATTTCACCTGCATGCTCGGGGCCCCCACCACCTTTTCCCTGATGAATTCCACCAGATCTCTTCGCCCATGCTGTGCAGCCCAGTGCATCGGGGTGAAGCCGTTCTCATACCTCACTTGAGGGCTGTACGCAGATCATCCTGCATAACCCACTCATCAGTGGCTTCAGAAACACCCTCGTTCCGGTATCTGCGGTTGACAAATTGAATAGAAGCCACTTCCATGCTGAAAGCTACAGCTTTCCAAGCCACTTATCAATCATTTCTTGAGGCTTCATGCAAATATTTCAAACCGCCACAGGAAACCAGAACCGTCTCCGACATTGTCGGAGCTGAGAATCCGTACCCAGGTTCACCGGGGAGACCCTCGTCCTTCATATGGATCAGCTCCTGGATGAGACCCTCCGGAAGCTTCACCAAGCTGTCGGAAAGCTTCATGATCTCCAGCTCCTAAAAGGCGCGACCATCGGTCGCAAAGGCATGGCGGCATGGGAAAAAACGGGGGATTTGCTTCACCGGTGTCAGAAAGATGAGGTGAAACAACCCATGGGATCATGGTGAAATGTTAAACAGTGAAAGCCATGGAGAATTTAGAGATATTTTCGAAGCTCTATCAAAGTTAGTTTATGTGAATCATTGAGATTGGGCTAGTGCCAGCCACCTTTTCATCCTTTTCCTTAGAAACAAGATCATTGTGGGGAATCCACACCAACACCAACCACAGGTTCATTGACCCCCAGTGACTGGGCAACAAGCGTCTTGAAAAGCTGAGTCACGAACTCAAAAAGTCCACATTTCTCAGAGTCAACTGAGGTTCAACTGAATATTTCTTCAAAGAAATTGCTTGATCTTTTGTTGGGTATGGCCAGAATTGTCAAATTTGGGTGCCTCTAAAACTGGACGGGTAATTCCCAAGTGACCACTATAAAGCTCCCAACGGGTCTAACTTTTTGGGAGCCAACCTATATCTCAGGAGCGGATCTAGGTGAAATTGCTAGCCGCTAGAAGCAGAATTCTCATGTCCAACCTTGGATTACCCACCAAAAAGTTTGTTGTGAGATCTTTTTTGGTGCAGAAAATTCCATCAAATGTTCGCCAAAAAGGTAACCAGTACAACCCATAAACCCACCATTCACCCAGAATTCGCCAGTCGCTCGCCTCCTGACACCTAGCCATGTCTCTCTGGATGTAAGTGGTCACCTCAAACGATTCAGGAATTCAGGCTCTGCTGAAGCGCATTTTATCATACTGTAAAAATTCAGCCATCTGAAAAACTCATGGTGATTTGGGGACTGGCCTGCTCCTGCTCTTCTGAGGAGAGATTATGTTGCAGAATCACCTGGAAAAAAACAGCTGGCGACTGAGATACTGTCTGAGATGCCCAACGACATGGAATTTGACCAACAAATATGAGGATATGATTGATATGATCAATCCAAAATGGCTGTAACGGAGGTTACACCCAACCACTAACCACAATGGCTCAACTCTTGATGGGTTCCCCCCCAATGGCTTGGAAGATTCAAGGGACAAAATCACCGGAACCCATGGTTTTGACAATAATGACTAGGGGGGGTTCCTGCAAAATGTCCCTTACATTCCCATAGTGGTGATCTTGCACCAGTGAACCCCCTTCCCCAGAGGGGCTCAAAACTCAAAACTCAAATCCCCATCTTTGTCGTGGGAACGAAATCCCCCTGTTCTTATCTTCTGCTAGTGTTTTGTCGCTGATCTTAATAAAGCAATAGGATCCACGGTCCCCAATTTTACCACATGTTTAGCCGTGGTAATCCAACCATCAATCAAAATATGGGTAGTATCACTATCAATCACTATTCATCACCAATACCCTCTGGTTATTTAACATAGCCATGGAAAATGGCCCATTTATAGATGGTTTACCTACCAAAAATGGTGATTTTCCATGGCTATGTTAAATAACCAGAGGGTAATTACTAATAAAAGAGGTGATTCTCGGTTGAACGTCCCCATCAGTAAGCAAAATGACAGAGTGGACGTGGACCTTCTCCTGCAGCGCTTGGAGATCGTGACAACGGGCATCCAGTTCATTGACCATCAAGCCCCGCCTGAGGCGATGAACTCAAGAGGAAGTGGACGGAAAATGCTGGTGATTTCATGGGATTTCATGGGATTTATGTGGATTTATGTGGATTTATGTGGATTGAATGAGATATAACCAACGCAATCAATATCCATCAAAACTTTCCAAGAGGTTGGTGGCAAATGCTAGGTTTATCTCTAAATTGTTCAGGTGCTTCGGAAGTTGTCCGCTGGAAACGTCCTCAAGGTCGTAAATAGTCCCACCATATGGTTAGTTTCTCCGGTTGGTTGGTTATGTGTTCATTCGTGTATGCCATAAACAACTACCATTTGGGCATGGTTTTATATAAGCCATCTATGGTGATTTTGGGGATGGTTTATTATTGTGTTCACCACATCACTTGGTTAGTTTGATCCCCAACATTTGCTTGTGAAATCCATGTTTCTTTCATGATTAATTCAGTTAACTCCCCAGCTTTCATGGTAGAAATCCCAATTCAGCCTAAAACGGCCTAAAATCCCAAGCGGTCATTCTTAGAATCCCAATTGTCATGATACCCTCTGGTAAACGAACATAACTATGGAAAATCACCATGTTCAATGGGTAAATCCACTATAAATGGTCATTTTCAATAGCTATGTTAAAATCCCAATTGTCATGATAAAATCTTCATTGTTCCTCTTCAAATCCAGGCCGTGTCCAGTGACTCCAGTGCAGCTGTCGAGCTGCTCCAATTGGATCTCCTTGTTGGAATCCAGCAGCTCTTGCACATCTCCCTGCGATGTTCTCTTTGAACATGATGATTCACCAGTGGAATGAAAAAATGGCACATGTTTAACCATTTTTGGGGTACCATCTGGTTATTTAACATAGCCATGGAAAATGGCCCATAGAAATAGATGGTTTACCTATTAAAAATGGTGATGTTCCATGGCTATGTTAAATAACCAGATGGTATAGTCTAGTCCTATTTTGGAAACGCCCAACAACAATAAGAACATCAATGGAGAAGAAGCAATCAAGAGAGAACAGTGGACAGCCTTGGGGGATCATCCCACGGATCCTAAAAAGGGTGAAACTCACCATAGTTCTAACCACCAAGTTGTGAAACACCCGATAAATGGAGATACTGCAGGTTCTATGGTGACTTAAAATCCATGGATCTAATGTTTTGGGTGGATCTAACTTAGTTCTATGGAGGCTTCTTAAAATGATCAAGTCACCAGGACGTTGTTTCAATACTAAGTCATGCTCCAAGGACTTGGATGCAAGGGGGTAGCACCCTCACCTTGCCGGCCATCAACTCCAACTGCACCGTGATGGTACCGATATGAACCTGGCTGAAAATGAGGTAAATACCCCAAGATGGCTATGAAAAATGATGATGAATTAGTGGACTTCGGGACGGGGTACCCTATTTTCAGGCAAACCCAAATCCTAGAATTGTTTGAAGGAAACATCTGCTTAAACCACCCGACATAATCATACTGATTTGTATACCGGTATACCATGGTATACCCCAAGATTCTTATCCCATAAAACCCTCTGGTTTTCTTCAACTTAGCTCTTGAAAAAAATTGAAAATCACCATTTATTAGTGGATTTACCATGATTTACCCATTAAAAATGGTGATTTTCCATCGTTTTTTGTATGTTTCCCCTCACCAACTGCGCCGTGGCTTCCCCACCTTTGCGCCGTTCTCCATGAGCCGGTCGACCCCCTGATGTGCCTCGCGCACCTGGCAGATGTGGCAGCAAGGGGGGAACGTTACAAGGGGGGCCCCGTTACCCAACCTGGTTACCCTCTGGTAAACTGTCACATAGCTATGGAAAATCACCATTTTTAATGGGAAAATCCACTATAACTGGTCAATTTCAATAGCTATGTAACAAATTACCAGAGGGTATATCAAGAATAGTAAACCAACCTGGCTGAAATAATGACATTGAAACCATTGTTATATGAATTGACATTGTAATAGGGGTAACTAACAATATTACCATTAATAACCATTGTTATATTTAATTGTTAATAGGGGTCACTCAATATTGTAATATTGACAGTTGCTCGTAAACCAGCGGTTTGCGGACCGGAAATCACCATTTAATTAAGAGGTAACTCATCTATTTCTATGGTCCATGGCTTTCATAGCTATGTTAGTTTACTGGAGAGTATCATGAAAATAATGTGGGGATAAAGCGATATGATATCATAATATGAGGTAAGCCTGAATAAGTGGCTTTATCACCTGAATGGGGGCTAAACCACGTAAATATCCTCAAATACCAGATATAAATGGATATCAGACATAAATAGATCATCAGGTAATGTCTATGTTCCAATATGCAACTGGTAGTTGTATCTGTTCATGGCTCATGACCCTTGAATACCAAATGTACATAGATACTGAGATTTTCATGATAAGGTTCTATGCGACTCCAGTTGATGGGGTACCATTCGTGTCCAGAAAAAGCTGACCATGGCCAACTGATCTATGGCTTGAGACACCAGCAGAAAGTAATCTCACCAGCCTATCAAGGTTCTAAAATTCAACAAACCAAGGTAATGTTCATAAGCTACATGTTTTTTTTCGAAAGAGCATCACTTTTCTGCAGGTTGCCAACCACTATTCAATCACATCAACCACCATTTCAAGTGATATTTGACCCCAGAAAGATAGTAGTAATAGGTCCTGTAAATTCATGATTGACCATTTAATCCATTGAATCTCTAGTCAGAGATGGAAACCCGGTGCTCTTTGTTGGGAACAAAAATATGAAAGGATCAAGTCGTCCCCAGTAAACGGTAAATGGCTATGTAGAATGGTGCTGAATGGTGCTGAATGTGCTGATAGCGGGGTAAAGTAGAAATGATATGAAATGATCAGGCCACCTGGAATCGCTAGTGAGATATCCCCGCGAATTTACCGCAATTGAACTCTTGGTCGGTCAAATCCCGATTTACTGCTGAAAATCCTTGGTTTTTCGTCCGTTGATCTTTTAACTTTTAGCCAATCAGCAGCACTTGAATCCCATCATGTTACAAAAAGTCACCATTTCGCGGGTCAGATCCACACCTGTGCCACGAAGCCATCTGCGCTTGGCAGCAGATCGTCCTCATCTACTGGCAGAGTAATGGACCTGGCGAATGGCGTCCCACAAAAATCAGTGGCACCACCAGAATGTGGGATACACTTCCTAGAACTGGTGTTATTGTTATGTATCCACTCATAACTGGGCATAGTGGCACCGTGCGGTGGTTTCTCAACATGGTTGGTTGTGATGGATGTATGTGGGAGGCTGCACCGCAAGAACCAAAACAGAAACCTGCAAAATCCTTGGTTTTCTTTCCAGGGATCTGTTTTGATGGTTCTTGATCACGCTGAGTGGAATTGTTCAGGGGACTGGGAGCAATATTCTTACAACTAATGGTGGTAAAGCAATAGTTAACCATCTCCAAATTTACCATAAATGCATAATGGATGGAATCCATCAATCCATACGGGCGCCGCGGTGGTTTGACATTGCAAAAAACGAACATTCTTAATGTGGGTAAAACAATGTCATGTTTACCATCCTCCCAAATGGGTAGTTTAATATTGTTTTAACCACATTAGTCAATCAATTGAATTGGTTCGGTTGTGTTCTTCCAAAACTTCACCCGCAACTGAGACCCAAACTCTGCCCAGAGTGACTGCTGCCTGACAGGAAACGATCCCTGTTGGGTTTGAAAGGTCAAAAATAAATTTAGATAATGTTGTTACCTTTCATTCAAGTGAGTCACGTTCCTGATGCCTACCCTCTTTTCGAGTTCCCGAATATTTCTTAACCCGGTTCACAGACTATTCTTGGATCCACTGCAAGTCCGCTCCATGTGGATAGGTTCCGAACATGACAAGTGACTCGGGGGGATCTCTATTGGAACATAAAATCATTCCTGAACCACAAAAACAACATAAGGTTTCACTCTCCCATGAATAAGGACAAAATCTGCGGGGGTTCTGCAGATGGATATGCATTTCCCTCAGTAAAGGCCAATAACCGTGGATACTCAGTCCTAGATTCCCGATCTCACATATAAGGACATCTTCTTAATATTGTGATCAATGTAGCCTTGAAACATTGCCATACCCCCTGTTCGGCTGCAAAATGTTGCTGGATTCATATCACTTCTGGCCTCGTCTTCTGCCGCTTCCTCGAAGCGCCGCCAGCGGCCGCGTTGGCCGCGTTGGCCACGCTTTCGTCGCGCGCAGCCAGAGATTTCTGGAGCTCCTGGGGGCCGGGACCGACTCTGGGGAGTAAGCCAAGGCTTCCAAAGGCCAGAGGATTTGTGATATAAAATCTATATCAATGGTCTTTATATTTGGATTAGGACCATCACAATCATCACAAATCCCAAATTTAAGCAACCCCAATGATATTTTTCGCCACAAGGATTTGTTTTTTGCCTCCCCGAAAAGAATGGGATGATACTTGGGAATGGTTGGCTTCTGGGATGGTTTGTGCTACGGCATTGGATCCCAGATTCATGGGGTCCCAAACCTCGTTTTGCTGCTGAAGTGCATGCACTTCTGCCAGTACGGCCTGACAGTCATGTTTCACATGTTGAAAATGGCTGCATTTTCCCAAACATTTTTTTTTGGGATTCTGAAAATGGAGGTTTCCAGGTTTCCTAAGTCATGGATGTAGCCCCAAATCATCAACTTGGTGATCTTTTGGGGCCCATTCATGCTGTGACGACCAAAAAAAACCATGTAACTTGACCATGGCATCTATAATATAAGTATAAGCAAAAACACTAGAAATATCACAAATATCAACGCCACTAGCTTTTTTGACACATTTTATCCTGTTCTATGCTGGCATGTCCCTGCCATTGAATTCGCCGATGGTAGACGCTCATAATAGTCATTCTTAGTCATTTTGGTTCCTATTCTGACGCTTGCTATTCCTATTTTCAATGGTGGAATCCCCACTTCTGATGCTTAAATCCACATTTTTTAACGAATGAAATCTCACGAATGAACTGATGGGAACTTCCCCATGATCCCATCCCGCGTTTGGAGTTCGTACGTCTTCATTCTTGTGGAGTGGTGTCCCCATTTCCAAGTTCGCATGTGTCTTCCCTAGGAAAATGATGTATTGCGGTTGGTGTTCTACCACCATCTAACTTGGTTGAATCTCTATCATACCGGGTATTTTGTAAAATACGCCCCTTTTTTGAGACACCTATACGCATATCATACCCCATGAGTCCATATTTTACCCTGCTATTTCATGATCCCCGGTATATCTCTATTATGGGGTTAGATTTATACCCTATGTTTATTGGTTCACCATTAAAGTCACCATATGAACCGTTAAAGCCATACCTCTATTCATGGGTTAATTTGTTAGGGCTTCTACCAACTATTGTTTATTGTTTACTATGAACTAACCCATTAAAATGATAATAACTTTTGGGTCAGTTCCAATGTTCTACGAACTGGTTTATTGTTCTTATTATTGTTAGTAAGCCATAAAATCGGAAGATTTGTAGGGTATGCAGCAATTTTCATGATCGGTGAGGCACCATTTCTTGATTAATGGGGGTTCTTACCCTCTGGTAAACTAACATAGCTATTGAAAATCACCATTTTTAATGGGAAAACTCATTATAAATGGTGATTTTCCATAGTTATGTTAGTTTACCACCTCAGTTCTTCATGGCACCTCTGAGTCCAGCTGCAGTTTTTGCCCCGCGCTCTGACATTCCACCACTTGCTGCCGCAGTTCTGAGGCCTCCTGGAAGAGAACCCGACAAACGGAGGCAGGGACAGAGTTCCATCGGAATGGGATTAGCCTCTGGTTATGTCAAAATAGCTATTGAAAATGACCATTTATTGTAGATTTACCCATGAAAAATGGTGATTTTCCATAGTTATGTTAGTTTACCAGAGGGTACCCTTCGGTAATCTAAGGTGGCAATAGGAAATCACCTTTGAATGAAGGTTTGAATGGAAAAATCAGCTACAAATCGGGCAAAATCCATTGCCATGTTTAATTACCAGAGGGTAGAATGAGATTAATCATGGGGAAAATCAACTTTAAGCACTGTTTATCACTGTTTTCGCTGGTCATGGATGAGAATCCTCAAGATGACAAGGGTAGGTTAGGAACCCCCACCAATCATCAATCAACAGGGGTCTTGAACACTGCTCGTTCATGATAATGCATTGATGTTCGTATACAAACAATTACACTTTCTTGACGAGGCCGATGTCCACTTTACCACACACATCACATGCATACTAAATATACATATCACATAAAATATTGATATCCATGTCTGCACGTATGTATATACAGTATACAAATAGAGAGACATATATATATATATATATAGAGATAGAGATAGAGATATAGATATAGACATAAATCTAACATGTTACATATATACATATAAATAGTCCCTTTGTACATATCTTCTTTTTTCGATACTGTGCCTGCTTTTCATCTGCCAGCTGGGACTCCAGCCTCAGCGATGGGGGAGAGTTGTTCGCGGAATCGGGGAATGGGGGAACTCAAAAATGTAGGCTTTTAATAGGGGTTTTAATAGGAAAAATCATCCAGGAAGAATCATCCAGAAATGGAGGCTTTTTGGGGGAAAATCATCTATAAATCGGGAATTACAAGATCCTAATTATACGCCCCATAGAAAACATGGTTTAGTAGATTTACACATATGAAAAAGACCATTTAGGGGATGAGATTACATCAGCTGATGATGGCAACCATGTTATAGTAACTGCTATAGGGGATATTATGGACATATATATATATATATGTATATATATATATGTATATATATATGTATATATATATATGTGTATATATATGTATATATATATAGTGGGATCTATGACCCAAAAAATATAATGTTATATGGATGTGGACCTGAAAAAATTGTATACCTGTCCAGTGCTCTCCAGTTATGACCATCAAATAATTGGGGTACCCTATTTTCAGCCAGCCAAATTCAAAAAAATCGATGTCTACAAGCTACACATACTTCGGTGTCCTGCATTTTTTTCAGACGGTCCCTACCTTGTTTTCCCTTCTTCAGACGAAACTGCCTTGTTTTGTGGCTCTAATGGGTGGGTTAAAGCAGAAAGTATGTCCACCGGAAGCCGATAGAGGCAGTTGCTCGTGCGCAATGAACATCTATGCATGCAGCTTTCGAGCGAAAAAAAAACTCCTTTCCACCCATGATGTTGCCTAGCTACAAAAAAGCATGAAATAAGGGATTTGAGGGGTCTTCCCATTTCTAGATATATGTGCCATGCAATGTCCAAAGTGCAATCTTGATTCAAAACGATCACAAAATGGTCACATTCCCATCTGTTCCAATCAAGCTTTTGCTGCTTTGACTTTGATTTGCCTTGCTAAAGCTGACCCATTTGAGCCATAGCATGTAGAGGCATTTTTGGGCATCACCCCAACTACGGGTGGAAGCAGGGTGGAAGATGTTGAAATTTAAATGTGGCTGGCCGGATAATCCCATATTTACTCCAATGATTTTCAAAGCTATAAACCGCCATGGCTAGTTCGGGGATTTCCCAGCCACATTTGCTTACCAAAAGGTATATCTATCATATCCCCATCAATATCCCCATTGCTGTATATCCCAGTTGTGGTTGATTTTACACCCCAATCATCCAATTATTGGTGGTAAAACAATCATTATTAACCATGATTAATCCGTATTAATAAATATTCACAACGGTTAAAAAGCTAATCATGGGTATCCTCTACCGACCAAAGGGTAAACAAAATCTGAGGCCGGGACGCTGACACAGCGGCTTCCTGAGCCATGTGTCGTTCTTCGAAGATCCTTACCTGCAAGGATCACTGATCTGGTCATAACTGGGCTGAGCTCAGCCATTGATCAACGGGGGTGAAGCCGATCACCGGCGTTCTCAACCACCTGGATGATCCTCCAAGTGCCATATGGCTTCAGGTCCGGGTGACAGGAAGGCGAGCTACAGTTACCCGCTGGTAATCAAACATGGCAATGGACAAATTCAAAGCTCAATTCATAAAGGAAATTCCCATGAAAACCCCAGTTGCATAGGATGTTCATGGATTTCCAATTGCCATGTTTGCTTACCCGAGGGTAACTGGTATCAATGGATTGGTTTGGTTGATAAAATCTTAGCATGGTTTTTACCCACAAATATGGGGCTTTCCTGTCGTCCAACCCTGTAATTATGGAGGTTCATCCCACCAAATATTTGGGTTCTGACCCAGCCCCACAGCACCCGGAACATGGCCGGGAAAGTCAGCACAATCATGCTGCCCTACTACAGGATATACAAAAACAAAGTGGCCGGCAAAGCGTTCTTCCGGCAACGGTGCTTGGGCAAGTTTCCAATGAGTATGGAAACTTCGCTGCAGTTACACACAAGAATAGCAGAAACCCATGCTGAAAACGGGTTTGGTTGGGGCTTCATCAGCTTGCCTGTTCCTCTTGCTTTGCCAACTTTCTTTGCAGTTGCTGCACCAGAGTCTGCCTTGGTGCGTGCATCGCCTTTCAAAGATGGGGAACTAAAGGGGACAGTTGCCATTTCAATAAGTACAGTCTGGATCCATGAAACCCAAAGGACCTAAACCATGCATGTCAACTCCCCACTGAATCATGATCGAATCTTCGAAAGATTGCTGATGATTCATTTCTAGTCTTGGCGTTTTCATGCCAGCCCGCAGGGTTTGATCAAGTCTTGGTACAAACCAGCCTATTTAATGAATCTCAAATTTGAAGCAATACACTATTCAGTGAACTCGAAAGTCAAATTGATTCGTTTTAGCCCACCAGTTTGCAGTCAGAATTATCCACAAAAACCCAGTCCCCGAACTCAACTGGCGTTTTTTTTGGGAAAAAAAACACAGTGAGAAATCACCAGCAAACCATGCAGCTGATTAGCACCGGGATGATGGATCTAAGGCTCTAACGCTTCCAGCAGATCCTTCTCAGCTTCTTCCTTCTCCCGCTGGCTGCTCCTGCCGAACTCAGTCAAGGTCGATGTGCCAGGGTCACCCAGGGTCACCTGGTCATACCAACGGGATTCAAAAAAAAAACTGGGTATAGCAAAACCCCCCTGTTTTTCATAGTGGTCCATGAGAACCATGACCATCCCCCCGGGGTGAATCTGATCCAACTGACTTGACCAAATTCCACCTGGCTGATCAGCGATGATAGGCGATTAAGCGATTAAGCGAATGACCCTCAGGATATATCTAAGCCAATTATCCATATATATGATATATATATATATATCCATATATATATAGTATTACCCACAATCCCTGGCTTATCCACAGGATATATCTAAACCAGTTATAATACAACACTTCGCATGACCCCCACGAGTCACCCATCCCCACTTAACCCAAATGCTAAGCTCCAGTTCTCATCGGATCATCGTTCATGATCTGTGTGTCTTATATATCCACATATATATGCAAATAAATATCCTCTATATATAAATGGATACGGGTCAAGGTTTTCACACCTCCTCATATATTACTGTTTGATATTTTTTGATATAATATAACTCATGACATGTAATTGTGTGTATATATATATGTATATGTATATATATATACCCTATATATATACCCTATATATATATATACACCCTATATATATATATACAATCTCGAATCTGCAAACAATTTCGAAACATCGAAATTACCCCCAAAATTTCATGGCTGATCCTCAAGTTTCCCTTGATTCGATGGTCCATCATGGGAGGAAGCTGGCTGAGGATGCGGCTTCAGCTGTCCCATCTCTTCCAACAGCGCCTCTTTCTCCGAGTGCAGCAGCCGCATCCTGCGGTGCCATCCGCCAAGGCTTAGATCATCCGTGGAATGGCGATAAAAACAGCCGCGGAATGAGTGTCTGAATTGATTGATATCTCCCATTTATTGGTAACCAGATTAGATTATCAGTACTTATCACTGATAAGTGATAAGTACTGATAATATGGTTAATTGATTGATACTGTGGATGGAAGAAATCCTGCACCACCTTAGATGGTTGAGACCCTATAAATAATAGGATAAACCATCTATTAACTGGTGCAGGATTTCTTCCATCCACAGTATCTCCCATTTATTGGTGATAAGTACTGATAATCTGGTTACTTGATCTGAATCACCAAACAATATCACCAGTTTGTCTGAATCCATTGGTTTATGATCATCTCCCCATTATTGCCATAGGGCTAAATCCCCATTTTCAGACCCACTCCCAAGTACACCTGGGCTGTACAGGTTTCATGCAGTACATTGCAATTGCAGTTGGGATCTCAAACAACTAGTCCCCCATTCAATTCATGTGTATGTATGTATATATATATATATATATACATATATATATATATACATATATATATACATATATATATATATACATAAACATAAACATATACATATACATATACAGTGTATACATGTATATACATATACTGTATTTCGCCCTTTATGAATAATTATATACATGTCACTATCCATGCCTCGTATATACCTTGGCCCCCGAGTTTGTTCACAAGTCTGGTCCACTGTTGACCCTGCCCAAGTCCTGGATTGCGTGTCTTGCAAGGAGCCAAGATGATTTTCGTGCTGGGACTGACAGTGAGCGGAAGATGTCACCAGCATCTGTGGATTGTGGTCATCCATCCCATATGGGGAGTCGGGGAGTCCGTACAATGCTCCGTACAATGGGAAAATGTCCAAATCGCTATCGATTTTTCTGACCATCCCAACAGCGAACATGACGAACATGCGGATCCGAAGCACAGAAAAGCCGGTGCTTTTGAGGTGTGCTGGGGAAACCCTTGGCCTCAATTTCTTGGATGCGTGAAATCAAGGACCGTCTTTCTTCCTGGGAAAGGCAGACCATCAGATGTATCCCCAAGAGGCAGACCATCTTTGCCTTTCTCTTGAAGGTATACGTGAGCTTCCAAGGGACAAAATTGGGCATTTCATATTCATTACTTGGCAAAAAACTTTGGCCTACCTTCTGGTAGTCATGGAAATTGGAAATGGCTATTGGACTATGCTGGATGAAACAATCATCTGGAAATTGGACACTTCCACCATTGCTTCCGTCCCCGGCGACTAAAACTTGGCCATACCTCTGGAAGCTAACGCGTGCCAAGTATGGAGTTGGAATCTCATGAGACTGAGAAGATAGATAATTTTGGTGTATTTCAAGAAATTAGATAGATGTTTTGAAAGAACCATTCAAGATTAATTATCCTATTCACAACATGAAGAACCATCCAACTCCAGGTAGGTGTACCTTTTGTTTGGGCCCAAACTTACCTGAGTGTCTGCTCCCATGCAAGCACCTCAGATTTCACTTGTAACTCCACGAGTTTCGCGTTTTCCACCTCCAGTTGCCGAACCTGCCGGATTTTTTTCCGCAATCCATTTTTAGAACATCCCAAAGTGGAGATATTTCTGAGGGTTTAGAGAGAATAGCCATGAAAAATGAGGCTGTAACCAACCAAAATTGGTTTCAGGTGCTGTATCCTAGAGCAAGTTACCCAAGTTCAACAGGTAAATGATCCACAAATAGCTGCACTGTTGCTGGATTGTCCTAGATTCGATTTCCCCAGGATATCCACATACTTCATACTTCCAGAATCCAATGAACCTTCTGCTGCAGGCTCTGATTCTCTTCACGTAGATTAGCACCTGCCATGGTGGAAAACTGGAACCAGGTGGCAAAAAAAAACACGTTCAAATGCTAGCCATATACAATAAAAAATTAACAGCTGGGTGTATCTTACAATTTGGCTTATTGATAGTTGTCCCAGTTGCACTGGTACAGCTACTTCCATCCAATTGCTAACAACTCCAAGTGCCTTCCGTCTGGTTCAAGAATACATTGCAAGAACTGAATTGTTTCGTATTGAAACAAGGAATTCAGATTAGCTTTCAAAACCTCAGTTCTTCTCCAAAACAAATTCTAAAGTAGTGAGTGTAGAGTTTTGAAACCTACTCTGAATTGATTCTACCTTGACTCCTGTGTCTGATTGGCAAATTTCCATGAAGGTCTTGAAGCTCAGGAGCTTGGGTTAGGCATTCCATAGAGGTACCAGGCCATCCCCGAAGTCAAAGCACAACAAAAGGCCCAGGCCCAGTCACCTGCTTCATGGTGGGCATCCTGCGACATCCGCTGCTGCCTTTCACGCTCTAAGTTGGCCTCGGTTTCTCTCAAGCGCTCCTGCAGTCGTTTTCCAGTCTGCACCAAAAATGCTGTGCTTTCGAAATCGCCATGGCTCAAGTCATTGGGGCACCAACGGACCCTCAGAATTCAGCGTTTATTGTCAAGACCTATAAAAATGGCGGACCCATTTCACAGGCTAGATAACCAGTTGAAGCCCCCGAAATGTTGATCCCACTCTCCTGTAGCAACCGAAGTTGTTGAGCATCCTCTCTCAGGCGTTGATTGGCAGCCTCCATGGGTGAACAATGGCCGAGCAGCAAATGCTCGGCCAGTTGTGCAGCTAACATGAGGCAGCTCATTTGAAGGTCCTGCGGATAATTCAGTTACCCTCTGGTAAACTGTTACATAGCTATGGAAAATCACCATTGTTCATGGGAAAATCCACTATAAATGGCCATGTTCAAGTTCGCAAACTGTTAAATTACCAGAGGGTAAAGGCGGTAAAGGATTCTCTTGAAAAACACATGGCCGCCCCAGTTCAAGTCATCACGATTCATCGCCTCTTGCGCCAAGGCATGCTGTCGATTCTCCTGCTGGTGGTGAAGTTGCTGACCCCAGAGACGATTTGTTTCGTCAACTGATCCGATTTATCCAATGAAAATTGGGGGTGTCACGGTGTCACTGTTTTTTGTGGAATCCAACCCTGCTTTCAGCGGCGCTGAATAGATCATCATCCACCATTCGAGAGTTTCTGGTGTTGAAAATAGCTTTCGGGTACCCCAAACTCCCATTGCCATTCTTCCTTAGTATGGTGCTTCAATGATTAAAAGCCCACCATGGTCACCAGGACGTTGTTTCTGATCCAATGATCCAATGACTTGGACGGTTTGGGGTATCCCCATGACTTAGGAATGTAATGATTTTGGGGCATCCAGCCTTGACAGACTCCGCCAAAGCACGTTCCTGGCTCGGTGGATGACTTGGATGACTGGGAGCCAAAAATTCCACCAGAAGTTCTCGTGACATAAACCCGGCCTGGTAATGACTAACATAACTATGGAAAGATCCACCATTTTTAATGGGAAAACTCACTATAAATGGCCATTTTCAATAGCCAGCTGAAGATTTTCCACATCATTACGTTGAAGGGAAAATCTATGAAGATCTACTTTGATGATCTGATCACAGGGCTACCCTCTGGTAAACTGTTACATAACTGATGGGAAAATCACCATGTTTAATGGGAAAACTCACTATTTCTATGGCCATTTTCAATAGCAAACTGTTAAATTACCAGAGGGTATTCCTTCATAATTGAAAGATATTGAAAGTGCTTCGAAAAGAACTTGTGTGAACTTGGTCAATCTTACTTTTCCAAAAATGGACCCCTACCCAATTTGAAATCAGGATCCTCCATGGCCCTTCCGCACTTTGCCTCCTGCAAACGTCGTTCGCACTCCACCTGCAGATTGGCTCGCACCTGAAAGAAACAGGCGGATGCCCCATGCTGGAAGGATCAGATTCAAGCCATGTCAAACAGATAAAAATGAGTCATCCCATGCCATGGGAATCCTTTGATGGGTATTTTTCGATGCCTAATGGATTGATGACCATCTCCCAATATGGGTGGTCTCCAACTCTGCAGCCCCACAGTCCGAAAAAAAAAAGCTGGGCCTTGTGCAATTCGATCCGCTCATTCTCAACCTAGCAAGGACCGGAAATGACAAGCACAGCTCACATCCACAAAGGATCTTGGGAGGGCAATAATCAATAGTTCCGTGGCTGGATGTGTCCCAAAGTTCATTGCTTTCGCCTAACAGAAGAGCGATGTACATGACACCATATTTCTTGCATACTACCTGCTTGCTCTATTCTGTAAAATTTTGGATTGTTCACCAGTCAACTAGAGCACGAGGCAACCCGGTTTCAAGAGTGATTGTCCAAATAAGATCAGCCAATTTTGTTGATTAATCCCATTAAATCACCATTAAATCAGCCATCAAATCACCATTAAATCACCAAGTAATTTGGCGGCTTTGTTGCATCCCAATCTTCAAAAGCCCTGGCTGCTGAATCTGTCGATCTGTCGCCTGCTTTCTCAGCTCTTCATGTCCACCCTGGCGCTGTCATAGTTCACCAGTTGACCACCCAGAAATTGGGTGGTAAACCTCCAAAAGTTGACCAAGACGTCTGATATCTGAGATATGGGCACTCCCAAGAAAGAAATTTCATTGTTCAATGAATTGGTTTAAGGGAAAATCTACACCGGAAACCAGCGATTTTCCTATTTTTTCTATGGGGTGAATCCTGAAAATTTTCCCTTAAACCAATCTTTTTTCGGTAACAGAGTTTTACCGCACCGAGAGCTCTCGCGGATCTTTTCAGCCTCCAGGATTGAGAGTCGTCTCGTGGGGCTTTCCACAGCCTGGCACTGCACCAGGGGAACCCAAATTGGGATTCCACTCCAGCAATGTTTATGGTTGTAATATATGGAAGTTACTAGGGGATACTTATATATATACATATATATATGCCATGTTTACCAAATTGATCTTAGATATGGTTTACTAGTTGAATAAGTTAGCAAATATCTTAGTTATCGCCAATTTAACTAGGGTTTATGGTGAATGCACCTACAGTTAGCTTGGTCAATAAACAAACATAACTAGGGCAGCAGCACTTTGTAGTAATTTGGTTTAGTGGGGGAAATGATGATAAAGCAGTGGATATTGCTGGGTACCCCTACTTCGGATAAACCGACATTAGTTTGCACAACTTGGATAACAGGCCCATCACTGTCAAAAATTGCATCTTTCCCATCTTTCCTATTCAAGATCGCTCGAAATGTTGTGGGTTCACATGTACAATCTGCTGCAAAGCTATAACTTTTATAGCTCAGCTCCAACATGATTATAGATGTATTTCGATCCCAATGACTCGGAGAAAAACCCCATTTGACTCCGATGCTTTTAATTGTCAACCCCAAATTTCATTTGTAAGTCATCATTTTTCTGATTGGCAAACCCCCATGTTTCGTTGATATGTATATATATGGGTTTCCATAAATAGGGGTACCCAAAAATTGATGGTTTATAAGTTATAAGGGAAACTCCTATTGACATGGATGATATGCGGTTACCTCCATTTTAGGAAACCACCATATTTTAACATACACACATTCCCATTGTAAAGAAATCATGATTTCGAAAATACCCAAAAATCAGTCCCTTCAGTTCCTTCAGTCCCTTCAGTCCCTTCGCCTTCAACTGAGCGTTGTGACTGTGCTCCAACCTTTGTTGAAGTTCCTTGGCCTCCTGGCGCCTGCGATTTCGAGTGGCGACGTGCTAAATCATGGGAACACATTCTGGTTGGTGGTTGACCTACCCCGCTGAAAAATGATGGAGTTCGTCACTTGGGATGATGAAAATCCCAATATATGGAAAAATAAAATTCATGTTCCAAACCACCAACCAGTCATGATCATTCACAAATCTGAAATGTTGTGCCCTTTTTCGAATGATTCAGCCAAAGAGAAGCAGTGGTCATGGTGAGGTCGGCCAGTGAAGATGTGGCCAGATACATTGCCAGGTTTTACAACATGCAAGAGGTTTGCGGTTTGCATTTTTGCTGATGGATGACCGGATGCTGGAATATAGATAATATAGCTAAACAAAAATCCTGATACCCTCCAAATTCATCAAACCTGCCAACGAAACTTCTCCATTTTGGGGATTTCCCACTGAGCATCTAGCGCTTCCCGCAATTCCTTCTCTCGTTCTTCCGTCTCCATTCTCGATCTCCTGAGAAGCCCCTGAGGTTGGATAAGGACATTGAGCCATGCAGAAATGGATGGTCTTGATAGCTATTCTGCATGGGGGTTCTTCAAAAGAAAACACATGAACCCAGGTGGCATAGGCCACATGTCATAGCCAACAAAGGTACCAACATGTCATGGCTCAGCTGATGTAAGTGAGATTCCCCCTATACTTCCTTTCCTTTTCGTGGCTTTTCAAACATCACCTCTTGTGGAAAACTTGTGATTGCAGCCCTGAACTATGTGACTAAATTCAGGTGCTTCTCAGTCGACTTGGAGAATAGCTGGGTACCATTCCGAATTCCACTTAAATGGCACAGTTTACAGCTGACAATGATCATGATCTGAACTCGCTGGTCACCATTTCCCGATGCTCCCAAAACCTCCAGTTGTTTTAGTTGCTTTGTGTTACCCCATGGACAGATTTCTCCAGAATTCAATTTTGGTTCGCCCAGCCCAGTGGGACCACTTTTTTCATCCCCAAATGTTTGTTGGTCAAACCCTGATGTTCGTGTAGGCTTTTCAGACATGTCTCTGTTGAAACCTTCTCTGAGGCTGGGACTCAAGTTCAGCCTCCACCTCCGAAAGCGTCTCTTTTTCGCTTTGGAGGCTGCGAATCCTCTGGCTGTTTTGACGAAGGATCAGGCCACAAACTCTGGTTCATAACCATAGTTATAAGTTATGACCAGTGAATAACCAGTGATAGGCCAACCCTGGTTGTAAGTTATAAGAGCTATGCATTCTTATAGTGATGGGATCACTCAGGGCTTGCTAACCAGGCGCAAGCGTTGAATGTGAATCAACCAGTGGGAATAGAGGACAGCGGTTACACATTGAAACCAGGATCCGAAAAAAAGAAGAAACAGGAAGTTGGAAGTTGGAAAATTCTCATTTCCCCAATGACGTGTGTTTTTTCAGCCACACCCCGAGCCGGACGCGGCTCCTGCTGTGCGCCTCTTGTAAGGAGCCTATTTCACTATCTCGCTGGGACTGGCGATCAAAGTCTGCGGGTTTTCATTTCATCGGTTCAGAACGGTCCATCGGAGCTGAAAAAAATCACGTGATTTTCCATCAACATGTTGCATTCAGTGCACAACTTGGCATTTTCAGAATATCGAACATGAGCCCAAAAAAACTTGATGTTTTAGTCATTCGTTCTGACACATTTATACTTTAAGTACTGAAATTGAGACATCAATCTGGACATCACGTAGACTTTATCAATTCATGTCGACCTTATTTGGAGCTTTTACAGCGACGAAATCTGTACTCTAGGCTTGCAATGTGGCCCCACTGGGAGGAGGCCATGCTGCCCCCTATTTGATGATAGCTGGGGGGCAAAGTAGGTGGCTCAAATATTTCAAAACCAGCATCCAAATAACCCTTTAAAAACGAAGAATCAAAACAAAAGCGTCAAATTTTGGCCAAAATTGCGATAAAACCATATCAATTCTTTCCCTTGGATTGGCCAAAACTAATGTCCAAATTGACCCCTGAAACTGTCCGAATACATGTACAACCTGACCTACAGGAGTAAGGCTAAGAGACGAAAGCTACCTGGGAAGGTTTGGGAAAAAGGACGAGGTGTGGTGACAGCTGTGTGAGAGTAAGTCTGATGATGCTGATGATGCTGATGATGCTGATGGTGACGATATGGCGACGATGTCTCAGGGGGGATTGACCCGCGGCAAAACTGCTTCCGAAAAAACAGGCGGTGGGGGACGGGGGGTAGTTAACTGAAAACTTTCACGTGATTGGCGATTCCAGCCCCTGCCAGATACCTTGCCAAAGCAAGAGGGACTTCAGCTAGCAGAAGCTAGCTTTCGTGATGAAGGTCCTACAGAGAAGGGTCAAAAACGTGCTAGATCCACCTTAATGTATCTATCTATAATATATATATATATATTCATATATGCCCTCCTCCTTTCTTGTCTTGAAACCCGTTTTCAGGCTTCAGAAATGATCAGAAATGCCTCCATGTTAGACCAGAAATGGTGCCTCCACTTCTTGCAGTCGCGAAAGCAGAGACCGTCTTTCCTCCTTGGCCAATTCGAAGGCCCTATATCCCAGGGTGAAATTCTCACCTTCCTAACCATTTACAGAGCGGACCCCGGGATCTGAAGTCCTCTGACTTGTCTTGAACTTCCAAGAAGGCAGACTGTTCCATCTCCATCTCCCGAATCTGCAGTGAGAAACACTTGGCAAATTGCTGTTTCGGAATGGGGACTATCCGACTATCGGACCTCAGAAATCTGTTCCGTTTGGGTGGTGGAATGGGAATGGGATCAATAAAATGTGGCAGAAATCCACCAGCACCAGGTCAGTAACCATTCTCCATCTGGAACCTATCAAACAATGGCTAAGTATGGTCACAGCAACCCCTAAAGCTACAGCAACGTTGCAGGAATCTTGGTGGAATCTTGGCCTTTTGCTGCAGCATCTGGTTCTCTGCCATCATGTTTTGGGACTTTTCCTGGCTGGCCACAGGCTGACAGACCCTACAAAATCCATCAAAATCCCATAGATTGTGGTGCACAGACACCTCAAGATGAATTGGACCCCAAAAAATCCCCACCAGTTGATCAGTGATTTCGCATGACAGCCGCGGCTTGGCTTCTTGGAATGGCATTGCCAGGAATCCACAGAATCCACAGAATCCCTGCACCTCCAAATGCCTCACACGTGCGCCTGAAACGCAGCCGGATGAGTTGACAACAAGCCGGATATTATATATATATAGGTGATTTACTTTTCCATCTATTTGGGGATGACTATATATTTATACTGTGGTAGAACCAATGCCAGACTCAATGCAACAACTTGTGGGGATGGTTTGTGCCATGTATGGTAGCGGGGATGCATCATTGGGTTTACTACACAAAAAAGGTACATAGACCTAGACCGTCCAAGTGCCTGGAAAAGTTTGGATATTATATATATATATATGGGTATGGGTCAAAATTAGGTACCCCAATAATTGGATGGTGAATACTAAACTAGACTAACATCTGTGGTCCCCTAGGTCTTCCATTTTGACCCACATCCATATATATACACCCATTACTTGGTACTACATTACTTTTACTTTGAGAATACACCACCTATCAACAACTATCCAACTACTATTATTAACAACTACTATTACCAACTATTGTTTTGGTGATACATCCATTGCTATAGGTAATACACCCATTATTGGATATACAGTGGAGGACAAGCACTTGGAATATGATTATTTGGGACGTTTACCCATTTTTGGAGTACTTGGAGGGTCTAAGTATGGGTTTGTCTGAAGATAAGCCCAGAATCCAGTGGTGTATCATCCTTTTCTTAAATTGCTGTTTAGGTGGTATACCCCGTGGCAGACAGACCCATGTATATATACTATACTATACATATATGACCCACATATATATATATATATATATATATGGAAAAATCGTACTTTTCACTATTCACTAACCTGAAAAGTGAGGCCGTTTGCGGATGATTCTCCGAATTCTAATCATCACAGTGATGTACTACCAGCGAGGTTGCAATGTAATTTGCCCAGATATATCAAAATACTTGAGGGGAAAAAAACACGAGGTATCTGGGTATTTTACCTCTTGAACTATGAATGAGACCGATTTCAGTATGAACTTGGACTGAGACGAGGATGAAGATCTAAATCTGAATGTGGTGAACTACACATTCTGTTTCCGAAAAAAATCGCGATCCTTCCTGGTTGAAATCCTTTTGAACCCCAATTTCGCTGGTGTGGACATAGTTGTATTGTCATATGATATATGATATATGTACATCAATGCTATGTATCTCAACATGGTTGTTGCTGACTCACTCATGATTAACCAGCCCATCAAGTCATCGCCTGCCAGCTGTTGTGCTTCCTGGGACATTCTGTGCTGCTGCTTTTCTTGTTCTAAGGAGGCCTGGCGTCAACATCCAGCTGGATGACTTTCCTAGACATGACTTTAGGACGTCGTTGTTTGCTGCAAAAGACCTGGGCCGGAATCCCCGCCTGCAGCATTTTAAGTTGATTTGCTGCATCCCTGGACCGCTCGTTGGCCGCCTACGCTGAGGGTGACCCCTTCGGAGTTGTTCTTCAGCTTCGAGTGGTGGTTGTTCAGCTACTCAAATAGCATTTAGATCGGCTTTGGCTTTAGAATCTATGACCCTTAGGATTTCATCTGAAATGATGTGTTTCATGGGTTCCATGTTGGGCCATTCGTCCCTACCAAGCTTGCACCAGCCTGCTGCAGAGCCAGGGCATGTTGCCGGCTCTCCTGCAACTCCAGATCTTGGATGTTTTTCTTGTTCTGCAAAAAGCGTACCCTCTGGTAATGGCTGACATAGCTATTGAAAATCACCATTTTTGATGGGAAAATCCATTATAAATGGTCATTTTCAATAGCTATTTTGACATAACCAGAGTGTACTTGGTCCAAAAATTGGGGGACACCCCAACTCAAAATGGATGAAGTGACCCGTTTTTGAAGGACTTTGGATCAACCTTCAGCGTCAGGTCAGAATCGTGAGAATCGCGAATCGCTAAGTATTCCGCGCCTGGAAGGACTGGGCTAAGCAGCCAGCCTGCATCCAAGTTTCGCTGATGTCATGACCCCAGGTTATCCATGGTCCATCCATTTATATATTATTTATTTGTGACCCTGGATGGAATAAATGGCCAGCCATCGGCTGAAAAACCACACCTCCTGCACTCGTTCTTCACACTCCACTTGCAAGTTAGCACGCACCTTGCAGAACATCCACAGTTTGAATATAATCTATGCATAAATATCATCATCAGGAAGTAGATAGAATATGGTTTGATTCAAACAATCCTCACCAACAATGGGAATTCTATTGGAATTTTATGAGGATTCATCTGCTTCAGCAGAAAAAATTAGGGGATGTTCCATTGCCATGTCAGATTGCCATGCCGCGGGCCGTCTCAGTGGAGCACCTTGAGCAATTCCAATCGCTCGGCTTCCACCTGTGTGGACAACGAAATTAGGGATTCTGCAATCGTTAGAAGAGTACCTTGCCACAGCCCTGAAATTAAATTTTATTAAAGACTGAATGAAAACGAAACCAACCTTGCCATGTACAGCTTCCAGTAGCAAAAGAATCTTGCCGTACTTTTATCGGTTTTACGAGCATTGGTTCAATGTCAGGAAGTCAATATAGTTTCCATCATCCAAATCGGATGAACACCTGGTGCCCCAAAAAATTGGAGGCGTCAAACACCGCCAAGCGTTTGGCAACGCTTGGAACCGCCTGCTTTTTGAGTTCCTCATGCTCATCCTGAAAGCACGGTGGCTACTCTGATTGTTGGCTAGAAAGGATATCAAGGTTGCCACTATATATTATATGTTTGTGTATATTATATATATATGTACATATATATATATGTATGTATATATATACATATATATATACTTACATAATATGTATTTGGGATTACCTCCCATCCCATTCGGATAGACCCATGAAAAATGGCATCAGACTGGAATAGACACCCATTCAACCCATCGAAAAACTTGAACTTCCAAAAGGTCGACCAAAAAAAAAATGTAAAAAAAAAAAAACGTTTATGATTGGATTAAAACTCCATGGCATTTTGGTAGTTTTACCCCAAAAAAATCCTCCAGTGGTCATCCCACCTCCAGGATGGACAAACGGCTGGTGGAACGTGCCGAGATTTCCGGAGCCTCCAGAGACCCAATGTCGACCCAATGTCGACCAATGTCGGAATCAGCTGCAGAAGTTGGGGATTGGCATGGAAAATCCTGGAAAAAATGGGGATTTATCAACAAACCACTATGAAATTTGGAGAATTTGGGGATCGAATGTCTACCTAGTTGATAAAAACATTTTGGCTTCTCCGCAAAACACTAGTGAAAAGCTGCAAAAAAAAACAAAATATATGTACCTTTTTTGAGTAAACAGGGGTGTTTGTTATTCATCGGGTTCACGTTAATCGACGAAAGGGCAATGTATAAAAACTAGATGTGGTAAAAGTGGGTACTTGCCCGAACAAGAATCGCCAAACCCAACCTAAGGGGCTCCAAAAAAATATGCACAAAAAGGCAAACGGCTCTGGTTTGAGACCATTTGTTTGATATTTTTTGCAGAATATCAGGGAAAATTCCCCAAATCTTTCGGAAATTCCCAAAGTTCTCTGATCCAGGACCTGCAAGGTCGCCATGTTCTCATCACCTTGGCCAAGATGATGGGGTGCTGAAAACTTTGGAAGGGATCTTGGATAGATATATATATATATGTTTTTTTCCCGGAATTGGATATTCTTGACTGGGAAAACCATGGTTCCCTACACGAATTCCCGCAAACGAATCCAATGAAACATGGAGTTGTAACTGATCTACAATCTAAAATCTTAGGGGAAAGGCCATATAATCCGCAGATAGAAAGGGATATCTTTGCGTATGGTGGCCCATTTTAAGGGAATCACCCGATAGTAAAAAAATATTCAAATCTCAAAATGAAAGTGAATTTGATAATCTTAAAAAAAACAAGGAAGTTTTGCAACTTGGTGGATATGTAAAAATATGTTCCCAAATATTTCAAATAATGCAAAATCCACAATGCATCAGAATACCATAACATAAATAAACCATCCTCAATTCTCAAACGTAGTAGGGGACTGGGACTATGAAATTAATCATCCTAGATACGAGGTAGTGCCCCCCAAGTTACAAGTTGGTTCATAAACCCCATTAACCGCAGATTTACCCGCCATAAACCACAGTGAACCTAGTTACAAACCAACTTGGCTATCATTCGGGGCACCACGGAACAAAACTGTATACCCAGCACCACTGTGACCGCTACGCTGTGCCACAAGACGTCGAAGATCAGCTAAATGTGCTTGCCTAGCGGCTCCAGGATTTTCATGGAAAGTTGAAATCCCCAATTTCATAGCTTCAAGCTTCATGTTGGACCTCCAGCCCATTTCTTATCATTTTTTCATAGGTGAAACTCGGTGAAACTCCCTCAAATCCCTCATCTGTCCTCCAAAAATCCCCATTTTTAACCATTAATCAATGGGAATTCCAGGATCCTAAAATGGAGGTACTGTACCATATAAGGCCATATTTTGTAGGTACCTCCAATTTAGGTTCCTGAAATGGCCATTGAATTAACCATGCCCAAAGTCCCATGGCCACCCCCGCCTCGACTCGCAGGCCTCGCGACGCCGTGCCTTGGCATCGATCTGGCGGTCAATCCACTCCAGACCTCGGCGCGGTCGAATGGAGATGTCAAACCTTGGGAAAAATGGAGAGTTTTACCATGTTTTACCATCCAAAAACTTGGAAATCACAGAAAAGCTTGGGATTTGAGGCTACAAAAACGCAGTCAAAGATTGATGACTTGATCAAATCTATCAAAGTGGGATTTCAAGCAAGAAAAATAGGCGGTCAAACTACACTGGGGATATCAACCAAGAAACCTAGATTCCAAACACTCAAAAGTGGGACTTCAAGCAACTTGCACTTTGACAAAAAGCACAAAAAACAAAGACTTTAACGACCAAAAAGTAGAATTGCCTATATAATAAAAGCCAGAATGATGAGTTGAAATTCAACAGAAATTGGGGGGTTCAGCCAACAAGATGGAAATGGATTTCAATCAGCAAGGCAAAATCGGGATTTGACCAACAAAAATTGCGATTTCACTAAGCAAGGAGGTGGAGTTGACCAGATGTGGATGCGAAATCACCACAAATGGAGAGTCGGGAGACTTGTAGCAACATAACTTGGGTCTCAACCAACTGAAATGAGGCAACACAACTGCTGGAAATCACTGTGGGTCCCGATCCAGGGTGAGAGGTGAAGACTTCACCAACAGTGAGATACACATCATCAAGCACACATGGGCAGAGAAGTCCGATCGATATGGAGCTCTGATGTCCGAAAATACCGCATGGACCACCAACAATGGACACTATGAAGGAAACCTGCATGTCATCAGTGAAATCATCACGTCTGGGCCATATGCAAATATGTATGTGGTCTATGATGGTCTATGTCTATGTAGTCAAAAGTGACGACCCAAAACGGAGCCGCAGGCAATCGTCATTTTCAGCCGAATCCAAGCAATTTCCAGCCACATGTGGGAACTTTGCCACTTGGCTTCAGGCATGGCTGAAGATGGCACACTTCACCGGAGCATCATGGCCCTTCAACGTCAACGTGAGTTCCCCTGCGGCCGACCAGATCTTGGCTGTGCCGTCTTTCCCAGCTGTCAGGACATTGCTGCCCTCAGGGGAGAAGCACACGGAATAGACCGGTCCCATATGGTCCCGCAGCACATGAAGACAACGGCCACTGTGCAGATCCCAGATCTTGGCTGTTCGGTCCCAGCCTGCTGTCGCCAGTCGGCCACTCGGTGAGAAGGCAGCAGCATAGACGCAGCCCGAATGAGCTGCGTTGATGCTACGAGGCTTCACCACACCCGCCTTCCAGACACGAACGGATCCATCACAGGAACTGGTCAGTACTAAGGTTCCGTCGCTGGAGAAGGAACCGGAATAGATACCTTGCAGCTGTGGTGATGCATATAAGGTTATAGGAACTGGCTCGTGGATCATTGTTATGATTGCATCATCATAGTTATGATTGTCAGGTTTATGTTGTCCTCAGTGCTGGGGCAATCTTTGCAAGAAATGGCCTCGGAATGATGGATTGATATTCGTTTATAACTACAATAACTGTTGGAATTATGTTGGAATTATGTTGGATATATCTATACATTAGATGGGGTAATATAAATCAACACGCGCAACTGGGTCGCCCTTCTTCCAAGGAGCGAAACGCCCTTTCCAGGGAAATCATGAAAACATCACTTGAACATGCCTTTCCTCTTCAATACACCGCCAAAAAAGTCTGGGGAACTGGTTCATCCCTCTACTTGTAATTAACGAAAAGTTATCACCCCATTCTACATCCCATGATTCCCCAAGATTTTCCCATTCGAAAAAAGCCCAGGCCAGGCAGGACACCCTGCTCGTGCGCATGCACCACCATGACGCATAAGCCTGTCCTTGAACTCCAGTAGCGAACCGAGCAGTCAAGTGAGGCTGTCAGGATGGTTGCCCCTGCGATTCGGAGGCTCCAAAATAGCAGACAACCAGCCAAAGATTGGGTTTAAGCACCAAAAATGCCGAAGAAAATGGAAGAAACATACACATTTGACCAACCAAAAATGGCTAGTGCGAACCAAAACTGTTTGCCCATGGGTCATGTCCAGTGCCTGCCGGTGAAAAGGCCACCGCTTGGATGGACCCGCAGTGTCCCTCCAAGGCCACTTGTGGAGACCCATCGCGGCTCCATAAAATCCCCACACGATCGGCACCACCAGTGACCACCAACCTGACCCAGGGGATCCCCAATCCCCCCAGGGGATACCAAGGGACCTGGATTTTGAGGCCCAAGCTCAAAGGTCATGGTCCCATGGCGGTTTTTTTAAATTAAATGATTTTTAATGGCTTCCAGAAGTCGAGTGGCCATGAGCCTAAAGCTTTGGAGCTACTTGATCAGCCTCAGTACTTTTTGAGGTGTTTTTTGGGGGAACCAAGTATGTGGCTCCGAAGCCCTACGCCTTTGATCTGGAGAGATTGCAACTGCATGAACTGCTTCAAAATGTTCAGACAGGACGTGTTGGCACTCCAGAGTCTCTACATCCCAAATACGTGCAGTGCAATCTTCCGAACCGGAGACCAGGTACTGATTGTCAGCAGACAAAGCCAAACTGGTCACCGCAGATTGGTGCCCAACCAGTGTTGCTTGACATTCGCCTTGAGACGTTCCCCAGATCTTGATATTTCCATCCATGGACGCGGTAAATACTTGGCTCCTGCGGAAAATCACGTCCAGTACTGAGTTATTGGCTGCACTCAACACTTCACCCAGCCGTTCCTGTGGTGCTAGGACTCGACCCTCAAAGACCAGCTTCACGGCCGTTCCGGCACCGACCTGCGGAAGAATCTGTTGTTCCAGGGCACGCACTGTGTCATTGCTATGAGCCTGAATCGTATTCAGATTGGATCCTGAAATGGCCCAACGAATTTCCACCTTCAACCGGCCATTGCTGGGAAGATGCATCTGTGGTGAAAAAACCGAGAAAAAAACATGACCTATGAAGGAAAAGCAGGTTGAATCTATAATGACCATGTGTTGGTTTTACAAAAATTCAGGGAGGTGCATGAAGATGGTTAGGAACACAACAACATCCTGCATTTTGGCACCTGAGCATGTTCATCTGGCAGGATGTCTGAGATGTTTTGACGTTTGGCGTTTGGCGCAAACTCGAAGCTGTCTGAGGAGCCACAAGCTTTGGAAAATCACCATTTTTTATCAAATCTCCCCTTTTTTATGGGCCATTTTCCACTGTTTTTTTCGATTTCCGGTGGGTAAGCCCCCTTTGTGGGGTCTGGTGTTGATCCCCGATGGAGAATGGGACACCCCATTTTGAATGAGACACATCATTCTGAAGCAGCAACTCTTGGAGCATCCTATCAGGCAAAGCCATGATATCATATGATAGCATGTGGCAATGTGGTATGGTTCATTCTTGGGTTTATCAAAAAAAATCTCTGTATCACAGGGGAAGCCGGATGCTGTCATCCTGCTCGCTACGCCGCTTAGGGACCATCGGTTGATACGGGGATGAACAACATCCAATGTCATCTCCGAAGTTCTATTGATGTGAAAACCAAAGTGAAAATCAGCTACCAGGGGCTTTGACTCCTATGGCATTATCTATAATATACTGTATATATATGTAAAGTTGACTTTTGAAAAAATATATATATATATATAATACATAGCAAAAAGTTGCCGAAAGGTATTTCCCGGACGATAGTTCGATGCTATACCCCTAAATCCATTGGATGATCAGCATGTTCCCTAAAATATCAACAAACATTGACCTACATAGTAGATCATAGTAATATAATATAACGACATATATCCAGTTCCATTCTATCCCCTTTATACATATGTATATACATATATGGCAGTGTGTCAAAACCCTGGTACCTAGTGAACCCCAAGTCATAGCTGGGATTTATGGATGTTCATCCCATTAAAAATGGTATTTTCATAGGTATTGATCCATAGCCATAGTCATAAATTGATTTATAGATCCCATTGTACCATAAACCATAGTTATTGGAGTTATAAACAATAGGTATTGATCCATATATATACATATATCCATGACCATTATGTGCTTGGCAAACTCCTCGTCGCTCCAACGGCTGAAAAAATGGGGAAGTTCCTTCGGCAGCCAAGGTGCCGTGAGTGACATCCCAAGCAGCTTGAGCCTTGGCGAGTCGACCTACATATATCATACATATATTACTGATATCTGTATACTAATGGCAAATAATAATATAATAATATGATAATATGACAATGTGATAATATGATAATATCATAATATGATAATATGATAATATATATATATACATATGGGCATTTATACTGATATATATAATCTTTACTGGCACATATATCATATAGTGTATATGATATATATTGTTGATATGCACATATTACCAAGACATTGTCATATCACCCCGAGAAACCTTTACAAACGCCCTTTGCTCCTGGCCTCGGGCGACGAAACACACCTCGCCAGGTGATTCCGACAGCAACGAGGGCTGACCCGACGGGATCAACTGGTTGGTGGTTTTTCGCCTACCCCTATGGTTAATATACTGTTAATATATGGTTAATATTAATGGTTATGATGATGGTTAATGATGGTGAATAACTATAACCTGGTTGATGGTTTCAATGGTTAATAATGGTTAATAGTGGTTAATAATGGTTAATAATGGTTAATAGTGGTGGTTATGGTTGACCATTATGGGAATTTTAACCATTGCTGGTTGGTGGTATACCTACCTACCCCTCTGAAAAATGATGGAGTGAGTTCGTCAGTTGGGATTTTCTGAAATTCCAAATATGAATGGAAAGTCATTGAAAATTCCATGGTTCCAGTCACCACCAAACAGTAAAGAAATGTTTGTCATCGTTAAAATAGTACGAGCCGTATTTAACGATGGTCAAGTATAAAGTATCAGTGATTTGGCTCATCCAGTATTAGGCTTAGCAAAGTTGATACATGAACAGTATGTGAAGTATTGGTCCAGATTCCCATCACGCCATTGGTGATGACCATCAGCCCTGCTCCATGACTCCATGGTCCGTTTTTTTGTCGTTGATACTCTGAGCAATGGCTACTCTGTCTTCGACTCCATATGCCATTTTTTGCTTCAATTTCTCCAAAGTTGATATCCAAATCTAAACCCTAAATAAATATACAAATGGAGACTTACTCGATCATCCCGCACCTTGACATGAACAAAGGTCAGCGACTCCATGGATGTCAGACAGGATCTGTTTACCGGTGATGAAGAACACCACTAACCAAGCAGGCAGTTTCGAAAGCTTTTGATACCCTGCAACTTTAAGGATACCATCATTTCTCTTAGGACCTTAGGACATGGAAATCTGAGGCACCATTATCTCAGCATTCCTTCTCTGTAACCCGGGCGGAAGCCCCCACGCAGCAAGATCACTGGAAAGCTCCTGTTCCATCTGCGAGACCTGCAAACATGCCGAAGCTCAAACTCGGACCCTAAAGTTCTACAGGATGGGGCCCCCCAGTTATAAGTTGGTTTATAAACCAATATAACCTCCAATATAAACTTGTATGGCCCCGTTGATGATGTTTAAGAAATGATCTTCAAAGAGAGAAGATCATAAGACTCCATCACCTTCATCGAAACGCATAGCCAAATACGTGTCAACGTTCCCCCGTGCACAAATACTATGTCAAAGAAATCCTCAAAGGCCTTGGGACATTCAAAGACTAGAAAATTCAGTACAACATTGTCTTGTATCTGCACCCAGTGGTTAAATATTTAAACTGGATAAAATATGGATATCCATAACCGAAGAATAGAAGATTGAATCTTCCAAGCTGTCACTGCTATGCGCTATGTGCCCTGCCACAGCATCAATTCTCTTCAGGAGGTCCTGCCGAAGGCGTGGAGTTTATCGAATCAAGTGACCCTGGTGGAAGCAGCATCTCCCCACCATGACACTTCAGCAACCCCTCATGAAACCTATGATTGAAGTGTGATTGGTAACTGGTAGAAGAGTTTATATATGTTTATATATATATATATGTTTATATGAAAAAATGCATTGTGATATGATGTCAAACATTGGCAAACCATACAAATGGTAGTGTTGTCCCCCAATGCAGGTCTATTGGGGATCCAAAAGTGGTCAATGGAATAGCAGGAAACACCACCACGCATGAAATGAAGTGCTATATCAGACAAATCATAAGTGTTACCTTTTAATTTGGAGCAGAATTGCAACACCATGAGTTCAGAATTATGGTATGTCCCGCTTTGCCAAGTATGTAAACTGCACGTTCCAACAGTAGTTGCCAAACAACACTCCTGTTGGTGTCAGCTACGGATTTCAGGTTTGAGCAGCGTGTATGCTGGTCTTGCTTTTCAAGACTGATCTGTACAGGAAAAAAATATATGTATATTATATACATATATATATATGTAAATATAAATATGTATGTATATGTATATGTATATGTATATGTATATGTATATGTATATGTATATGTATGTGTGTTGTATGTGTGTATGTGTGTATGTTTATATATATATATATATTCGCAATTAAAAAATTATCCTCAAATTGTGGTTTACTATACACTTCTGGTTGAAAATTGGGGATGGTTCATGGCATTGTGGATCTCCTGTTGTTCCCCAGATCTATTGGTGGCATCGGGTGGCCGTTTTTGAAACACCTCTACTAGCTGCGATTCCTGTCCATTCTACCCCTTTTCCTGTTGATAGTAACCCAGAAATTGTCCCAGGAAAAATTTGCAGGAACCCTGTACACTTGTACGTAAAAAATTAAGGTTTCTTATAGATTTTGCCTTATCAATTTTACCTTTCTACCCTACTCCCATCATGTTCCTCTCCGTGAGAAGTGTGGGAAGCTGACCTCGAATTATGCAGATCAAACACGGGAACCTCAACATCCACTCGTTTCATACTTGAAACAAAAAACGCGGATCCATCTGTAGACTGGAGATGCAAATATATGTATATATCTATATATTGTATATATATATACCTAGCAGAGTGGTCCAGAAATTCCAGTTCATCACGCCTCCTTTGAAGGAGTGGCATGGGGTCAGATTCCCTGGGTGGATAGAGTTTGTTTCGTTTCCTACAGAAAAATATCGAAGCAAAAAATTGGTTCCCCAACTTACCATGGTCTAATCAATCCAATCCAACAAGAAAAGTTTAATCCCCCATCTTTGACGGTTAAATCCCATAACTTCCGACGTTTTGGGCTGGTTAAACCAGCAATGCATCGCCGCGTCATAAGCTGAGGCCTGCACTTCCGAATGTGAGCAGATGGGACCTGGAGCTATGCAAACACCCACATGTTTGGTATCTATTGAACATTATCATCAATGTTGTCATGGATCTCTGGTTATCTATGGTGATTATCAATTTATATCTATAGTAATCATAGATCACTTTCATAGTCTTTATCTGTAGTCGAAGGTAGTTTAGGAGTCAAACTTCCGACGATATGGACAGATGAAAAGCAGAGAGGGGAAGAGTCAGAGAGAAGAGAAGAGTAGAGAGAAGATGAGAGAAGAGAAAGAGTCAGAAGAAAGAAGATGCATATGCGCGAAAAGGTAGGAAAGTCGCGAAACACTGTATTTTTCCAATGATTTGAGGCTCCGGAGGGTCGAAAAGTAGGCTTGCTAAAGCGGCGGGTGTGGAGCCATCTGGCCAGATGAGAGATGAAAAAGTGCACGCCGTTGTGGCGCGAAGCACATTTCGAAATCAAAATGTACAAGACACACCAGCTCCGGGCCACTTTTGGAAGTTGCGGTGTCGAAAAAGTGCACACCGTTGTGGCGCGAAGCACGTTTCCAAGTCAAAATGCACAAAACACACGATTCTCGGACCACTTTTGGAAGTTGAGATGTTGAAAAAGTGCACGCGGTTGTGGCACGAAGCACATTTGCAAGCTAAAAACACCTCACGTTCGGACCACTTTTGGAAGTTGAGATGTCGAAAAAGTGCACGCACGCCGTTGTGGGGCGAAGCACATTTCGAAGTCAAAATGTTAAAAACACCAGGGGTTCGGACCACTTTTGGAAGTTCAGATGTCGTTTCGCCTGGCAGGCGCAAGGGATTGTGCACCTTGTCAAGAGTGAGCAAAACGTGAGCGTAATGTAGCATTTTCAACTACAACCACCACTACAAAACACTAAACTCCACTACACTACACTGCACTACAACTACAATTACACCTTCACTACATTCCACTACATTACACTCCACTACACTCCACTACACTGCACTCAATTACACTCAATTACACTCAATTACACTCAATTACAATCAATTGCGCTACACTACACTTCACTACAGTACACTACACTACACTACACCACTACACTACCTTCCACTACACTACACTACATTACACTACACTAGACTCCACTACACTACAACTACAACTACACAACTACACTCCACTACACTCCACTACACTTCACTACACTACATTACACTACACTACACCAAATTACACTACACTGCACTACATTCCACTACACTACACTACACTACATTCCACTACACTACACTACACTAACTACAATTACAAGTACAACTACAAGTACAACTACAACTACAACTGCAACTACAACTACAACAACAACAATAACAACAACAATACTACATTTACACTACGCTTCACTACACAACACTACACTAATTACACTACACTAGACTCCGCTGCACTACACCACACTGAATGACGCTGCACCACAGATAGACAGGTAGACAGATAGACAGATAGATAGGTAGACAGATAGACTGGTAGACAGATAGACAGACAGACAGACAGATAGATAGATAGATAGACAGCTAGACAGATAGACAGATGAAAGAGAGAGAGGGAGAAAAAGAGAGAGAGAGAGATAGATAGATAGATAGATCGATAGATAGATAAGTAATTAGATGAAAGAGAGAGAGAGAGAGATAGATCGATTGATAGATAGATACATAGATAGATAGATAGATAGACAGATAGATAGATAGATAAATAGATAGACAGATAGATAGATAGGTAGGTAGGTAGGTAGATAGTCAGAGAAAGAGAGGAGACCTCAAGCACCTTTCGGTCCATCAGTGGATTCGCTCTGCCATCTGTGATTCACAACAACCAATCTCTCCTACTATAGGTTTCCTATTTTTGAAACTTCCGCCACCGCCTTGTGCGGTACTACTGTTAATTATCAATTTTTAGATAACCAGTATCTATCGTGATGTTCTCTTCATTCTCATCTTATACTCGTGCTATCATTATCATTGCTATTTAAAAATATATATTGATTGTCAGCTCCATTTAAACACGCACACATTAAGTGTGGTTGATCAGAATTTTGCGGTTGCTGTTGGATGAACATCCTTGGGCCCCTGGTATTCCAATGACCCAAGATCTGAGCAATCTGAGCATCGAGCCGGCCCCCCGATTTGGATATGGACATCTTCAGTCCTAGCCATGGATGCAATGGGGTCCCCCTATGGAATCATAGCTGATTCATCCCCCACGAAAGCCGCGCTCTGATGCGGCTGTGAAGAAAGCTGTATCAGGGTGATAGCCAAAACAATAAGTCCAATGATAATCAATGAAATTTTGGGAAGGTATATAAATATACAGTATAAATATCTTTCCTCTAATTCTAACTACAGCTATATCCCACATATCCACTGTATTTGCAGCCGAGGAGCGGAGTGGGGTGAACCTGTGGTTGGTGAGCCACCGGTGTCGTAAAATTACGTCACCGAAAAGATGGACGAAAACCAACCAGAAAAACCGTATAGAATAATACCCTGAATTATATAAGGAGGGTAGCTCATTTAGTGCTAATTTAAACCCTGGTAGCCTGATGAAACAGCCAGGGGGTAAACAAAAACAGAACAGGCCACTGTGGGAGTGCGCAAATTGCAGCATTTCCTGTGCAAAGATCCAACAGCATATGGCGCAACCGGACAAAATTGAATTCCATTCCTCTCTGCTGTTCATTGGCTGAATGCACTATGTCATAGCAAACATTGCTGTACTGTAGTGTATCGACCTTGCTTCTAGTGCAACCACTGACAGTGCCTGGCAATCTCTGCTTGGCACATCTGCAATGGCTATCCACACACCCAAAAAACCAAAAAAACACAAAAAACAAAAAAACAAAAAAACAAAAAACAAAAAAAACAAAAAAAACAAAAAGACAAGACCCAACACTCTGCATCTGACCCCCTCCCCTTGGGGTGTGCAATCTTGGTTTTTTTGGTTTTTTTGGTTTTTTGTTTTTTTGGTTTTTTGGTTTCTTGGTTTTTTGTTTTTTTGGTTTTTTGGTTTGTGTGTGGATAGCCCAGACCTTGCCCATGGGTCTGAACTTTTTGTTTTTTTTTGTTTTTTTTGTGTTCTCGAGGTTTTGGCCAAACTGCAAAAAACCATGGAAAAACAAAAAAAAAAGTTCAGACCCATGTCCCCTGCCAGGCCTCTCCCCAGACCTTGCCCATGGGTCTGAACTTTTTGTTTTTTTTTGTTTTTGTTTTTTCCATTGTTGTTTTGAATGTTTTTCATGTGAAGATGCTTTCATCACAGTACCTCTCAAAAAAATGCGCGTCTCTACAATTTGCACACCTGCGCCCCCCAGGCCAAACTGCAAAAAAAAACAATGGAAACACCAAAATTCATTTAATGACTTATATAATGACTAATATAATGATTAATATAATGATTAATGTAATGACTTATTTTTTCATGAATATAATGATTAATATAATGATGAATATAATGATTAATAAAATGATTGATAAAATGATCAATATCATGATTAATATAATGATTTATATAATGATGAATTTAATGATTATTAAAATGAAAAATTTAATGATTAATATCATGATTATTATCATGATTCATATAATGATTAATGTAATGGTTCATAAAATGCCTAATGCAATGACTAATATAATTAATATAATGATTAATATAATGATTCATATAATGATAAATAGAATGATTCATTTCATGATTCATTTAATGACGTTTATAATGACTAATATAATGATTAATATAATGATTAATGTAATGATTTATGTAATGGCTGATATAATTATCAATTTATTGACTAGCATAATGATTAATATCATGATTCATAGAATGATAAACATAATGATTAATATAATGATTCATTTAATGATAAATATAATTATTCATTTCATGATTCATTTAATGACTTTTATAATGACTAGTATCATGATTATATTTAAAGAATGATTAATATAATGATTACTATTATGATGAATACAATGATTAATATCATGAGTAAAATACTGACTAATTTAATGAGTTTATATATAATGAGTAATGTAATGATTAATAAAATGATTAATATAATGATTAATTTAATGACTAATATAATGAAAAATACAATGGCTAATATAATGAATGTTATAATGGTTAGTATAATGATTGATATAATGATTAATATACTGATTAGTATAATGATTAAGATAATAATTCATATAATGGCTAATATAATGATCAATATAATCATTAAAAAATGATCAATATCATGCTTAATATAATGATTTATATAATGATGAATTTAATGATTATTAAAATGAAAAATTTAATGATTAATATCATGATTATTATCATGATTCATATAATGATTAATGTAATGGTTCATAAAATGCCTAATGCAATGACTAATATAATTAATATAATGATATAATATAATGATTCATATAATGATTAATATAATGATTCATTTCATGTTTCATTTAATGACTTTTATAATGACTAAGACAATGATTAATATAATGATTTTTGTAATGGCTGATATACTTGTTAATTTATTGACTAATATAATGATTAATATAATCATATATATAATGACTAATATAATGATTAATATAATGATTAATATAATGAAATATATAATGACTGAAATAATGATGATTCATTTAATGATTCATTTAATGATTAATATAATGATTCATATAATTATTCATTTAATGATTAATATAATGATTCATATAATGATTCATATAATGATTCATATAATGATAAAAATAATGATTCATTTAATGACTTATATAATGACTAATATAATGACTAATATAATGATTAATGTAATGACTGCATGGAAAAAAGTGCACTCCCACAGCGGCCAGCTCTCAACAAAAACCAGGGGTAAACCTGTTCATCCCCGCACCTTTCACAACAGGGAAACCTCAAAATGGAGTCCCAAAGTTCATGTCACTAGTCTTAGAATGGGCTATTCCAAATTTGATGTTTGATCAGTTTGATCATAATTTCCCCTGCTCCAAACCAACCATTTTGGGGAGTAACTCCACCAGTTTCAGACCCTCATGGCTGTGCGGCTGTGCCTGCACATTGGGCGAGGCTACGATGCGGCCTCCGGTGATGCCATGGTCAAGTTACAGTTGTGGTCATGGTGACCCCGGTCATATCCTCATTGAAGGTGTAGTAGGACTACTTAAGGGCTGACTAAGGGCTAACCACCAACAACCACTAGCCATCTATTCCCCACAGTTGGGGGGGACAGTTGAAGTCAAATTTATGAAAAGCGGGTGGATAACCATCCATCGCACAGTGAGGGTAAAAACGACCAAAACAAAGACTGGGGACATTTGGAGGATCACCCCACTTAGTATCTGGTTAGCAAGTGGAATTCTCAGCCACTAACATTGACAATGGCCGTTAGGGGACTTCTTAACCAGGGATCCTCCAAGTAAAAATATGATATATCCAGGCGTTCAGTTCCGCCCAAACATGGGGAATAGGTTCCCAATCATCCCCAATCTGTGGCCGTTATTTGTTGGAAGATCCTGATTTTCTCATCCACGAGATGAGAGGAGCCTAGTTTTGGACAAACAACAAGGCCTGGGCTCGTCCCTGGAGACCTAGGCTGGATGGCAAGTGACTCAAGTGCCCACCATGGTTTCTTCTCAGCTCTAAAATAACTTCAATTCACCTGTAAGGCATCACTTGGGTATTCCAAAACTGGCATATATTGTGTATATATATACATATGTATTTATATATATATGTATATATATATATTACACATATATATATATATACATATATAAACATATATACATATATATATATATATACAAACATATACATATATATATGTGTGTATGTATACATATATACATATGTACGTAAATATATATATACATTACATTACATTACATTACATTACATTGCATTACATTACATTACATGACATGACATGACATTACATTACATTACATACCTACGTACGTACGTACGTACGTACTTACATACATACATACATACATGTATATATATATATATACATATATATATATATGTATACATATACATATATTTATATATACATATATATACCCCAATGTCTGGCAATTTTTGATGGGGCACATGAAAAAAATTGGATCACTGGAGTCGAAAGTCGAGAACAAGTCCCTGACACGGTCGCTTGTCCACAGGACAGCCTCAGCGGCCCGGTAATACCACTAAATAGATCATCATGGGTTTTTCTTAAAACATGAGAACTTGAGAGATTCAAAAAAATCTACTGAAGATCCCTGTATTTCGGCAGTCATTTTCGGGACTCACCAATGCATCTGGACATTAAAGGCCAGTTGCACGGGATGCAACACTCGATGGGGCCCCGGCATGCGTCCATGTATGGGCAAGGGAGAAAGTGGCCTGCGTTGGAATTGGTCGTGTTCCTGCAGTCATGGGAAATTCGCCAGGAGAAAATTGGGAGCTTCACAAAAAGATCGTCATGGAATTGTTGACCACGCAGAGAGTTTTGTGAATTTCACTGGTTTTTTTGTGGGATCCACAGAGCCACCATCTCCAATTCGTGGCTTGTGAAGCCACGTAGCTCTTTATTGAGACTAAAGCCGCGTAAAACCTCCCCTTCAGTTTTTCGCAGCGTTCAGTTGAACCCAGCCTGGCGGTCTATTGGGAACCCATTCCTGTGTTGAGCTACATATCATATCTCTACGGAAAGAAGGCCTCCCTGTGGATGGTGAAACCATCCCCAGTCATGGTATGTTGGATTGGGATTGGGCTGCCCACATGAATTTAAGCACAATCCCCGGTGTAGCTAAACATCATTAAATGTATACACCCAATAGGGACACTTCGCAAGAAGCCCCCTGATATCATATCGCCCACCTCATAGCTGTGGGAGAAGCACCTCGCGGATCACGGATCTCCCTTGTGGGTGCATCTGATCAGTGGTTCATCAGGTATGTTTCATAGCTGGGGTATATAAATTCCACATATTTCCACATATAGCTGGAGCTATATGTAGGGATATGATATGGTTAGGATCCACTTTCCGAGATACACAAATCCTGCACAGCTTGGCAGGAAAGAAAAAAATGGCCGTGCCCAAAATGACTGACCGCCACAAAAAAGATTGGAGAATCTGTTCTCTTTTCGGCTCCCCGGATTAGAAATGCAAGCACAAGGATGGGAAATGTAAACAAGTAGCAATAATAATAACAATAATAAAACAATAATAATAACAATAATCTTAACAATAACAATGATGATAATAATGATGATGCTGATGATGATGATGATGATAATGATGATGATGATTATTATTATTATTAATGATAATATAATGATGATGATTATTAATGACAATAGTGAATATTCTTCACAAATCTCAGCAGAGATTTGAAGAAGGTTTACCAGGCTCATGCATGGACGAGCATGTCAACTCCAAGTCAAGAAAACTACAGAAAAATATTCAACAATTAAGCAAGTGGGGCAAGTGACAACAAAATAAAAAGAATCAGACGTCGATAGACGTCGCGTTCGCTGTTGCTCCAAAAAAAGAATCCCTGCTGATCAAAAGCTCGGTTGCCTCTTGACTTCATTGTCATGAGTTCCCGTGGTCATTTTTTGCTGCAAGACTTGTGACAGTAGTTTAAAGAGGTTCTGGGCCAATCTCGGATACTCTGCCAAAAAATATAGTTAAGTATTCTGTCCCATTGCCTCACATTTGGGCACCAGATAAACCCAGGTTCAACCTCTAGTTTCTGCAAACTCTCATCGTAGTCACTGCTTGGACTCAAATGTAATGTATCCCCTACTTGGGTAATGTATGGCATCAACATTGGGATAATTTAAAATTAAAGACCTCTAGACCAGGTCAAATCATTATCTTAAATCCTGCTATTCGCTGTTGAGATATCTACTTCCCAAACGCTTCAAGCGCTGAGTTTACTGTTTGCTGTTTCAAAAAATTTCAAAATGATGACAGTCAAACACTCCTGTGGTGATATTGTTGCTAAGAAATTCCCAATTTTCCAACCTCCAGGCCCACTGGTGATGGGTTCCATTTGTCCTGGCAAACGTTGTCGTTTTTGCGTTGATCAAGGACTAAACATCATGAATTTCAAGTTTCAAAGAAAACAAGATAATCTCCTCATGAAGAAAACGGATGCAATGATGGAAACATTGATCTAAAGATAAATCGCCATCCATCCTGGCACTCCTGGAAGCGGTAGAGGTGACGCTGGAGCGGCAACCTGCACAGTGGAGCAATATATAGGATCGGAAAGCGCCGTTCGGCCAATGGGTAATGGGAAATGTTGATCCAATTTTTATTCTAGAAAATGATTTTATATCATATCATTTCATATATCATTCAAAATTTTAAATATAGTAATTACTAATTGTTGCAAGCAAGAATCTGGTTTTGTGTAAACATTTGCATTGTTTTTCCTATTTGATGTCAAAAACTTGTCTGACGAGTTCCATCTACGATACAGAACCGTCAAAACTGAATATGGGCCATTGAGCAGGGGCAACATTTTTACGTCACGTGCCTCTCGTTTCTGGCCACAATGTCGACAGTACTGCGCATCATAAGCATAGACTCTGCCACAATTGGGGCAAACCTGAGCGCAAAAATTGATCCCATATGGCCCATACGTAACAAAAGTAGAGTGTGTATAGTGTGTATGGCCCGTAATGCATATTTTTTTTTGATTCCCCATATTTCAACCATCCCCATCCAATGTGTCTCAAAATTCACAACGACATCACGCCTGCATGCGCGGACCACCTGCAAGCAAAACAGTAAACCGAGTGTCAGTTTCTTGCCATTGTGATTTTTTCGGCAGCAAATCATTCATTGCCCGCATGTCAAAAAAAAAACAGTTTTCGCCTCTTCCCTTCAAACAAGTGTAACATTTGAACATGTCACGCCTTTTTTGATCGAGCAATTTTGGTTGGCACTGTGGAAGGTACGTTTTGATATATGTTTTGGCACTGGTAAAATCAATTTACATTGCAAACCATTTTCATGTCATTTTCTAATCAACTGTCACTTTGGCCCCCAAAAACTGTCGTCGCCACACAATCAACCATAGAATCAACATGCCAATCAAATCATATTAATATGTGATTGAATTGAAGAATTTTCGAAAAAAATCCTGCGGGAAGGATAAAAATATGAAAATTGACTGATGAAGTTGATTCGAAATAATGTGGTTACATGCCGCGAAAATAAAATGTGTCATATTAACATGAATCGGCATGACTATGCCATATATGTTACTTTGTTTTGTTGCCGCCCACTCCGCTGCAGGTTTTGACATCAAAAATGGCAACGCGCATGTAAATGAAGACGTCCACATACAGATTTCACAACTTAACATCATTACCGTTTTGTCACAAAAAATGTTTGCCAAATTCAATGTTTTTCTGAATATGTTACATCTGAACATATTGTTATTCAAGGTTCTGTTTAATTGGCAGTTGCACTTCTTGGGGCCGTTCCCGCTATCGGTCGCTGCAAAGTTCACGTTTCTGACAAAATATTATCCACTGCGTGCTAAGCTGCCAAACCCCGTCAATCGCAAAAAAACGGACATGGAAAACTTGGAAAACTAGGGACACAACACATTGATACAGCAGAATGTTGTCGGCTGACAAACCAATCTTGGTTATATTGCACATCACAAACAACAAAACACAAACAACAAACAACATACCAAAAAACAAACAAACAAACAAACAAACAACAAACAAACAAACAAACAACAACCAACAAACCAACAACAACAACAACAACAACCAACACCCAACAGCCAACAGCCAACAGCCAACAGCCAACAGCCAACAGCCAACAGCCAACAGCCAACAACCAACAACCAACAACCAACAACCAACAACCAACAACCAACAACCAACAGCCAACAGCCAACAGCCAACAGCCAACAGCCAACAGCCAACAGCCAACAGCCAACAACCAACAACCAACAACCAACAACCAACAACCAACAACCAACAACCAACAACTCACAACCAACACAACCACAACAACCACAACAACCACAACAACAACAAACACAACCACAACAACAACAAACACAACCACAACAACCACAACAACCACAACAACAACAAACAACGGTCGGACGGCCTGTTCACGCGCGGCCGACTTGGTTTGTCATCTTTGCTGAGTCAGAAGTTTGGCCAGCTGAACAAGCAGTCAGCTAACATCCCCCCCACCCCAGCGTGGCGTAGCATCAACAACGTGAGCAAGTTACATGGAACGTTAACATCCCCCCACCCCAGAGTGGCGTAGCATCAACAACGTGAGCAAGTTACATGGAACGTTAACATCCCCCCCACCCCAGCGTGGCGTAGCATCAACAACGTGAGCAAGTTACATGGAACGTTAACATCCCCCCACCCCAGAGTGGCGTAGCATCAACAACGTGAGCAAGTTACATGGAACGTTAACATCCCCCCCCACCCCAGCGTGGCGTAGCATCAACAACGTGAGCAAGTTACATGGAACGTTAGCATCCCCCCCCACCCCAGCGTGGCGTAGCATCAACAACGTGAGCAAGTTACATGGAACGC